GTGTGGGAATGGAAATCTCACTTCTTGTTTTTAATTTTATACAGCATGGGAAATAGATAAAGCAGCTTGACATTACTTATGATTCAGACATTAGTTGTCATCAAAATAACTTCACTGCAATATAAGTTTCGCATATAAGCACTATTTGCTTTGTAGTGGTAGGTTGAATTTACTAAAAAATGTCAAGTCTGCAACAAAAATTAATTTCCAAAATCATTAATTCTGCATTTATTTACTTTTTTTTTTTTTTTCTTTTTTTTTTTTTTTTTTTTTAATTTTTTATTGGATTATAGGTTTTGGGGTACATGAGCAGAGTATGCAAGACAGTTGCGTAGGTACACACATGGCAGTGTGCTTTGCTTTTCTTCTCCCCTTCACCCACATTTGGCATTTCTCCCCAGGCTGTCCCTCCCCACCTCCCCCTGCATTTATTTACTTTTATTTTTATTATTATTTTAGAGACAGGATCTCACTCTGTTGCTGGAATGCAGTGGTGCAATCATAGCTCACTGCAGCCTTGAACTCCTGGGCTCCAGTGAGCCTCCTCCAGAGCTGCTAGGACTATACACATATGCCACTGTGCCTAGCTAATTTTTTTTTTTTTTTTTGAGATAGGGTCTTGCTTGAAATCCTCACCTCAAGTGATTCTCCTAACTCAGCCTCCTAAGGCATTGGGGTTTTAGTCCTGAGCCATGGTGCCCAGCCCTTTTTAATGTTTAATAGTGGTTGAGGGAAGTTTTTCTCATTCAAAAAATGTTAGTCTTCATCCTGAGTTTTCTGAAACATGACAGTAAAACGATGCCATTGCTAAGCTGTTGAACTTCTGTGTGGTCAGGAAAGTGAAACTATTCATCATTGATTTCTGACAAAAATTCATGGAACTAATGATGGCTAAATCATGAGAGTGCATGAAGTTCGCGTTGACACCACTGTTTCAGTAACTCATAATAGATTGAAATATTTTTCACAAAGTAGCTGCTAATGAGTAACACAGGAACCAGAGGCTTATATTTTCACATTATCTTTAGTTTTCATAAGCTTCCTGAGTGTATCTAAGTAAGCCTTTTCTGATCCACGTATATTCTTCTCATGATCAGTTGTAGTTCATCTTAGATTCCACTTCAGATCATACGGAATTAGTATTTTCACAACTTATTTGAAAATACTGTGTGCTCTAGTTGTTCCACAGAGACAAGTGATAGAGGCTAATTCTTTGGTCACCTCAAGCTCAACATTGACTCCTTCAAACACAGCAGCAGCAGTAACATCTGTCAGCTCATCAAGAGCCAAGGAAATCCCTAGAGTCCTATGGAAACCACTGGAGTCTGATGGAAACCAGTGGAGTGAATCTGATAGAAACCACTGGACTGAGTCCAATGGAAACCACTGGAGTGAATCTGATGGAAACCACTGGAGTGAGTCCGATGAAAACCACTGGAGTCTGATAGAAACCACTGGAGTGAGTCCGATGAAAACCACTGGAGTCTGATGGAAACTACTGGAGTGAATCTGATGGAAACCACTGGAGTGAGTCGGATGGAAACCACTGGAGTCCTGGGGCTGTTGTGCTTCTCTTACTGTCCTCAACTCCTCAAGCGACTGTTCTTGCCAAAAGGCTAATAGTCTTTAAGCAAGTTTATCATCTCTTGACACAGAGGTTTTCTTTGTTTTTCGCTCTTGTTACCCAGGCTGGTGTACAATGGCGTGATCTCGGCTCACTGCAACCTCCGCCTCCTGGGTTTGGGGAATTCTCCTGCCTCAGCCTCCTGAGTAGCTGGGACTACAGGCGTGCGCCACCACGCCCAGCTAATTTTTTGTATTTTTAGTAGAGACGGGGTTTCACCATGTTGATCAGGATGGTCTCTATCTCTTGACCTCGTGATCCACCCGCCTCAGCCTCCCAAAGTGCTCGGATTACAGGTGTGAGCCACCGCACCCGGCTAACACAGAGTTTTAGGTGCTGTAATCAACATAATGTAATTTAACTTCTCATCAGTGAATAGTTTTCCTTGGTTGGCTAACAAGTGAGCCACTTTAGAACTTACATTAGTGTAAGGGTCATTTTCATTTTGTAAAGTAATTTAATTCTGCTATGATGAAATATTCCATTTCAGAGTTTCTGTTTCTGTTTAACATGTTTCTGACATTTTTGAAAGTTGAGTCTATTGTGATGAGTACTTGCTCTAGTAATGTTGACAAAGTGTTCTTTTAGCACAGCTGTAGCATTACTGCCTAAGGAACACGATGCTCATCTAATTCAATAACAAAATAACTCACACTCCGCTGGTCCTCAAGACCATGACGCTGAAGACCCACTTGCAGGACCTCAGTCATCTTTCGGTGGCCAGTCAGAAATGGCAGGAATGATGCTCTGATATAGATACAGCAGTATTATAAATGTGTCTGCCTGTATGGTTTTCTGTATTTCTTATTGTTCTGTACCATAATTAGGCATTTGAAGATACCACCAGCCAACTTTAACATTTGCCATTTGTTTTTTTATTTTGTTTTGTTTTTCAGACAGTCTCGTTCTGCCTCCCGGGCTGGAGTGCAGTAGCAAGATCTCAGCTCACTGCAACCTCTGTCTCCTGGGTCCAAGCGATTCTCCTGCCTCCGCCTCCCAAGTAGCTGGAATTATAGGCACCTCCCACCACACTTGGCTACTTTTTGTATTTTTAGTAGAAATGGGGTTTCACCATGTTGGCTAGGCTGGTCTCGAACTCTGACCTCAAGTGATCTACCCACATTGGCCTCCGAAAGTGCTGAGATTACAGGCATGAGTCACCGCGCCCAGCCTGTTTGCCATTTGATTATACAACTTACTTAAAAACTTTTTTTGTTTTTTGAGACAGAGCCTTGCTCTGTTGCCCAGGCTAGAGTATAGTGGCACCATCTCAGCTCACTGCAACCTCCACCTCCCAGATTCAAACAATTCACTTGCCTTAGCCTCCCGAGTAGCTGGGACCACAGGCATGCATCACCGTACCCAGCTAGTTTTTGTATCCTTAGTAGAGACAAGGTTTTGCCACACTGGTCAGGGTGGTCTTGAACTCCTGACCTCATATGATCCACCTGCCTCAGCCTCCCACAGTGCTGGGATTACAGGCATAAGCCACCGTGCCCAGCCTAATTACATAGCTTTACATTACTGTTTATCTCATCTTTTCTGGATTACTTCTCAGCTATTTTTACATGGGGCTTTTTGCAGGGGGCAGAGTAGGGAGTGAACATATCAAACATTGTTAAGTTTTAAAAGCACTCCTGCTGAAGCTTTTTTTTTAGCTCCCTACTGTCACCGCTGAATGAAATTATTATTCAAATTACATGGCTTGGTGTGGTAGCTCACACCTGTAATCACAGCACTTTGGCAGGTCAAGGCAGGTAGATCACCTGACATCAGAAATTTGAGACCAGCTTGACGAACATGGCAAAACCCCATCTCCACTAAAAATACAAAAATTAGCCGGGCGTAGTGGCAGATGCCTTTAGTCCAGCTACTCTGGAGGCCACAGCAGGAGAATCACTTGAACCCAGGAGGTGGAGGTTGCAGTGAGCCGAGATCAAGATTGCACCACTGCACTCCAGCCTGGGCGATAGAACAAGACTCCATCCCCGCCTCCTAAAAAAAGACATTAAGCATATTAACTAATTTAGAAAGAAGTCATATCTTTATGTTTATTGAGTTTTCCCATCCAGGAGTGTGTTTCCCTGTTACATATTCAAGTCTTCCTTTATATCTCTCAACAAAACTTTGCAGTTTTATTTATTTATTTAATTTTAATTTTTTTGAGATGGAGTCTCACCCTGTTGCACAGGCTGGAGTGCAGCGGTGCCATCTCAGTTCACTGTAACCTTCGCCTCCCCGGTTCAAGCGATTCTCCTGCCTCAGCCTCCCAAGTAGCTGGGATTACAGGTGCCTACCACCACACCCAGCTAATTTTTGTATTTTTAGCAAATATGGGGTGTCACCATGTTGGTCAGGCTGGTCTCCAACTCCTGACCTCGTGATCTGCCCACCTTGGCCTCCAAAAGTGGTGGGATTACAGGCGTTAGCCACTGCGCCCAACTTTACAGTTTTATTCATATTGATACAACACATTCCTTACTAATCTGTGCCTAGTACTTTTGTTGTTACTGTTGCTTTACTAAAGGTGAGCTTGGTTTCCAGCTAGTCACCACCACACAGCACAGCCTCTGATGGCAAGTGGCAGGTCAGTGAAGTCTCTCAGCACTGCTGCTAGTTTCTTAGTTCATTTAGTTTCTCTAGGCTGACAACTGATGACAATTTTTATCTCTTACAAATATTGGAATATTTTGTGGGTTTTTCTTGTCTGATTGCATTGACTAACACTTCAAAAACTGTATTAAATATTGGTGGTAAGGATAATTCTTACCCAGACTAATGATGTGCTTTCAGCCTTTTGCTACTAAATACTATTAAGGCCTTGAGTTTAATATGGATATTCTTAATTAGATTAAATTTTCTTCTACTTCTGGACTACTGAGAATTGTTATCATAAATACTTATCAGTTTGATAAGTGAATATCTATCAGGACAATCACCTACTCAGTCATTCATTTCACAGATACTTGTTGTGTTCCAGTCCCTAACCTTCAGCAGTCACAGTCTCCAAGGGTGTTTCTAACCGTGCTTCCTTTCCAGGTCATCATTTTATGTCGGGAAGCTGTGATACTCACTAACCCCATCTCTGTGCCCTCTGAACAGCAGCCCCAGCTCCAGTGGTTCAAGCCTCTGAAACCCCGGGTGTCCCAGCCACCCCCTGACCTCTGGATGGGCCACAGTGGTGTGTCCCTGATGGAAGGAGGTGGGCTCAGGGCAGAAGATGAAGAGCACAGTGGGCAGGAACCAGGTCATTCCCAGGAAATTGAGGTGGCAATGCCATGTTCTTAAGTTGAGGAAAGGCCGGTTATTGTAAATGTGCCATATTTTTCAGTGACTGCCCTTATGTTCATGCCTCTTTTATTTTACTGTATTTCAGTTCTTCACCACCAGGAGTGTTCCTTGAGAAGGACTATGAGATTTACCGGGATTACAGTGCGGATGGCCAGCTTCTTCACTACAGGTAGAACTCATTTCTCAGGTGTGGCCCTGTTTGCTAATGGGAGGGTGGCTTCCTCAGTGAGCTGGGTTAACTGCGAGTGGGAGGTGTGTGGCACACGGGGGCAATGCCATAGACCCAGAGCTGGAAAGGCCATGGAGGCTGCGGTGCCGGGGGCCTGGGCAGAAGCCCCTTAGAGCTGCCTGAGGCCCATTGGCAGCCCCTATCTGGGAATCTTGTCTCTGCCTGACTTAGGCAGCCTGGAGCCTATGGCGCTTCCCTCAGCCCCTGGTGGAGCAGCAGAGCGCTGACGGGTCCTTAGTTAAGTCCGCCCCTGGCAGCTCAGGCCACACATGCCAAAGCACGTGGCAGGCCCATCTGGAAGGTTGGCACTAGTCACAGCGGAGGGGTGGGCTTTGGCTTACAGTAGTCCTGGGTCAGCCTCACAGACTGCTGGAAGGTTCTGGAGACCCCCATCAAGACCCTACTGCCTTCATGTTGGGTGGGCAGGGCCCTCCCTGTGTCCTACCAGGTGTCTCGGGAGGGGAAGGCACCTGGATTTCTCCTCCTTGGCTGGGCGGTGACCAGTGTGCTGTGGGGTTGCAGGACCAGGGCCAGCTGCTGTTTCTGTAGGGGGTGGGTATCCACAGCATGGACACCCAAGAGCACCGTGGTGCTGGGGAGGAGCTAGAAGGCCTGTGGGCTCTGGCAGTTTGCACAGACGATTGAACAGCTGGAGCTTGGAAGTGGTAATGGCTTGCTTCTTACGTTTGTATTTGTTGAACATCAGGGTTGTGGGAGGGAATCAGAGCCTGCCTTGGTCCCAGCAGTGTGGCAGTTTAATGAAGGGCAGGTTTTTTTTTTTTCTTAATTCTGAGACAGAAGTCAGCTATTGAGGGCAGGTTTTATAGCCTTCCCGAGCTTCCACTTCCTCATCAGTGGGACGGTCTGGGCAGCTGAATTGGTGGTCACTGCAGAGTGACAGAGCCCACAGGCGGAAGGACCACCCCACTGTGGCAGATGAGGTCCCGGCTGTGATCAACAGCCTTGGAGCTCCTGTGGACCCAGCATGTGCTTAGTGGACCAACACAACTGCATCTTCATGGTGACATGTGACCACCTGGTCTTTGGTTGCCAAGCACTGCCTCAGCTCTGCCATTCCCAGGATGCCATGCCATTCTCCCCCAGAATCAAGGGCCTGACTCACTGGCGGTAACTCTGACCTCATCTTCGGCACCCACAGAGCTTTCAGGGAAACAGGTGTCCCACATGTGGTGAGGAGGACCATCTGGGTCTCTCTGGAGATGTCAGGTGGGGGGTGAGTTGCCAAGGTAAGCCCGCCCCAGCATCCTGCCCCTCACACCTGCAGGGATACTCTGGTGGCTCGGCCACCTTTGGCCACATGAGCTGACACATCAGGGCCTGGTCTCCACGAAGGTCCTGGCCTCTGTTGCGCCTTCAGCCCCTCTCATGCTGGCACCTTTCAGCTGGCTGACGATTCAGCCACTGAGGATCCCTGTTCAGACCATGGGTGTGTCCATGTGCTGGCCAGGCCCCTGACACAGGGCCAGCAGCTGTGTCTAGCCTACCTCTAGGCCATAGGCTAATGGCTGGCAGGAGACATAGCCCACATGGAGCTCTGTGTGGGGGCATCAGGCTCCCTCTGCACCTGGTAGGGAGGAGAGGCCTTGCCACTGCATCGGCCAGCCCAACCCAGTGTCTGCTCTGAGTAGTGCAGTGCATCCCTGAGGGCGATCCCTGGCCCTTGGCCAGTGTGGTGGTGGCAGCCTGGCCTCCTCCAGTGACCTGTTGGGGGCTGCTTCACACCAGACAGCTCAGCCCCTCCTCACGTCCCTCACTTGTCACTGTCATCCTGTCGCTGTGACCTTGGGACAGAGGTCCAGTGGTGTCTGGAAGAAGAGGCTGGACCCACAGGGGGATGAGGGAGGCCTGCCAGTGTGTAGCAGCAGAACACTGCCTCCAAGGGGTTCTGTGCCCTGGGGTGATGCATGCATGTTTAGCTGGGAGGGTAGAGCAGTGGGGGGAAGTGGACAGCCGGACCCTGTCCTGAGACGTTCTCTGTCCTTTTTGCTGAAACCTGCCACCTCTATGTGTTCTAATGATATGTGGAGGGGGACTCAAACTTGCCAGATTGACACTTGTAGATTCAGCTGCCTAAGAGCAGGCGTCCAGCTGAATCTGCCAAGCCAGTTCTTCCTGTGATCTAGGGCTTCTGGAAAGAGGGAACTTAACTTCCTTGGGGAGCCAGTGAGAGGACCTGCCATGCACCAAGCTGAGCACAATTACAGATGGTGCTGACATCTCCTGGGGTGGAGTGCTGAGTGTGCCAGGGTCCCTCTATAGCTCCTAGGAGGTCCTGCCCTCAACCAACCTGCACTCCCACTCTGGACTCCCATGTCCGGAGTGAAGCTTCCCTCTGGACATGCTGGAGGCCTGGGTGTGAGCTGCCACAGCAATGTGGATGCTTCTGGGAAGTGGGAGGAGAGCTGGTGTCCAGCCCCACGCCAGCTCCACAGAGGCTGAGAGCAGAACAGATGTGGCTGGGCACAGTAGCTCACGGCTGTAATCCCAGCACTTTGGGAGGCTGAGGCAGGTGGAACACAAGGTCAAGAGATCAAGACCATCCTGGCCAACATGGTGAAACCCCACCTCTACTAAAAATACAAAAAAATTAGCCAGACATGGTGGCATGCGCCTGTGGTCCTAGCTACTCGGGAGGCTGAGGTGGAAGAACTGCTTGAACCCAGGAGGCGGAGGTTGCAGTGAGCCGAGATTGCACCACTGCACTCCAGCCTGGTGACAGAGCAAGACTCCATCTTTAAAAAAAAAAACAGATTCGAGCCAGCCAGGCCTGCTGGGCTCAGGAGGCCTTGGAGGCTCCACTCTGCCCCCAGAGCATGCCTGGTGCTTCCTTTCACAAGCGTGCCACCAGCATAATGGACCAGTGTGGTGCCATGTGGGGTGGCAAGAAATAAAGTCCCTGTGATATAAACTACATGAGCTCAATTCACTCAGGAAAAAAAATAAATTATAAACAAAAGCCAGGGAGCTGCTGACCCAGCCCCGAGATACAGTGAAAGCTGTACTATTACCTCAGCCTGGTAAAAGCACATTGCTTCTGGTGTTCTCTGTGTATTGCGATAGAAAAAAAAAACTCACCAGCTTGATCCCAGCACTCAGGGGTATCAAGAGACCACAGCAGGGATGGCAGTAGGGGCAGCCTGGCAGGGTCAGGCCTGGAGGGAACACAGGTGACTGTGAGGTCACATCTGACCAGCAAGCCTTTTCCTTGCTCTCACCTCTCCTCACACTTACCTCACCCTCTTGGCAGCCTGCCAGCCCCCTGCCCTCCCTCAGGGACCCTAGACTGGCAGTGGAAAAGTGCCTCCCTAGGGCCATGGCAGGGCAACCTGTGCTGAGACCATCTGCCAAGCCCTTCCCCAGGCCTGGCCCAGGCCTAAGGCGTGTCAAGAGGTAAAAAGAAGTGCAGTTTTCAAAACATGCTTTGCATTTACTGAGGGTTTTCTGTGTCAGTGCTGAGCTCAGGGCCTTACTACATGCACATTGTTTTGTTGAATCTTCATCATAACTAAGGAGGAAACTGAGGCAGAAAGATGTTAAGTGAAATCCAAGCCTTGCAGCCACAGAACAACAGACTGGAGTTCAACCCCAGATCTCCCAAAGTCCGGAGCCCTTCACCGTTTAGCATCCCAGGCCATGGAGGGGCTGACTCCACACCTGGCCCTCAGAGTTTTGTGGCCCCTGCCACACTGGCTGCCACCGTCCATGCTGCCTGGCTGGTCCCTGTTGTCAAGCTGGGAGCAGCCTCCAGCAGCCACAGACAGAAATCCCAGGAATAGGCACCTGCACTCTGCCCCCGGCTGCTTCCCTGACTTCTCACCTGGGTGCTATGGCCATGCCAAGCGGTCCCATGGCCCAGCATTCTGAAACAGATCGCTCCATGGCCAGCAGGTCAGGGGGTCCCATGTCTTCCTGGCCTCACCTCACCAACCCCCCAGGCAATGGGGAGTATGGCCTTGTCCAGAAAGACCCCACCTCAATCAGAGGGACACAACTGGCTTAAAATGTGTGGGGTTTCTACTTTTGTGGTTGTTTGTTTAAAGATGAGGTCTCACCGTGTTGTCCAGGCTGGTCTCAAACTCCTGGCTTCAAGTGATCCTCCTGCCACAGCCTCCCCAAGTGCTGGGATTACAGATGTGAGCCACCATGCCTGGTCAAATTCCTGGGGTTCTTTTTATTTTTATTTATTTAGTTTTTTTAGACAGGGTCTCACTCTGTCACCCAGGCACAGCTGTGGACACAGGACCAGTGCTAACCTTGGGCCGTCAGGGCAGAGCACGTGTGGGCATCATGTCCACATTTCCGCCCTGCGTTGCTGCCCAGGGCAGGGTCTCCCATGTTGCAGATAAGCAAGTGGGGCTCATGCACTGGGTTGGGGGGACTGGTGAGGACGCATACATCATGACTCCAGGAACTGTGGTGCCCTTAGCCAGGTGCGGGTGTTAGTGGGACACCTGCAGATGTTGGAGTGAGCGTGGTGACTGGGGCAGGGTCAGGGGAGGACAGTTAGTCTTTTTGGAGCTCACAGGAGCCACCAGTTGGAAAATGGGGCCCTGGGACACTGGTATTGTACCCTGCTCCTGGTGGGCTCACCTGGACCCGCTGAGACTGGTCCAGTGCCACCACTCAGCAGGAACACAGGGTCCAGGCCTGCCCTGTGGCTCAGGCAGCTCAGAAGACATCTGCCCAGCATCCACAGTAAGAGGGCCCTGGCAGGGCTGCCCTGGGTTCTAGTTACAGAAGCAGCTCTGTGCCTGGTCAGGGGCTGGGATGAAAGCAGACAGATGCCTGGTCGTGGGCGGCAGCTCCAGGCAGGAGAGCCGCAGAGGGAGGGCTAAGGGGCTGGGGGCCAGGCAGGTGTGAGGGTCTCCAGGGCACAGGGCCCTAGTGTGGAAGGTGTACAACAGAGAGTTCGTGGGAGCCGCCACCTGCAGCCCCTGAAAGTGTGGGGCGTGCCCAGAAGCAGCAGGCAGGTAGTTAGTCACCTGTGCGCGTCCACCCCTGCAGGACCTCCTCGCTGCGGTGGAACTCAGGCGCCAAAGAGCGCATGCTCATCAAGGTCGCTGACCGTGAGCCCAGCTTTCTCGCCGCCCAGGGCAATGGCTACACCCCAGATGGCCCCTCCGGGGTCCGCTCCCGCAGACCCTCTGGCAGCCAGCACTCGCCCAGCCTACAGACCTTCGCCCCAGAGGCTGACGGCACCATCTTCTTCCCAGAGAGGAGGCCGTCACCATTCCTGAAGAGGGCCGAGCTCCCCGGGAGCAGCTCCCCGCTGCTGGCCCAGCCGCGAAAGCCCTCCGGGGATTCGCAGCCCTCCTCCCCGCGCTACGGCTATGAGCCCCCGCTCTACGAGGAGCCCCCAGTAGAATACCAGGCCCCCATCTATGATGAGCCCCCCATGGACGTGCAGTTCGAGGCAGGCGGGGGCTACCAGGTCGGCTCTCCCCAGCGGTCGCCAGGCCGCAAGCCCCGGCCATTCCTTCAGCCCAACAAGCAGGGGCCCCCCTCGCCCTGCCAGCAGCTGGTGCTTACCAGGCAGAAGTGCCCCGAGCGCTTCCTGAGCCTGGAGTACAGTCCCGCGGGCAAGGAGTACGTGCGGCAGCTGGTCTACGTTGAGCAGGCGGGCTCCAGCCCCAAGCTGCGCGGTGGACCTCGGCACAAGTACGCGCCCAACCCGGGCGGCGGCACCTACTCGCTGCAGCCCAGCCCCTGCCTGCTGAGGGACCAGCGCCTGGGCGTCAAATCCGGAGACTACAGCACGATGGAGGGGCCTGAGCTGCGGCACAGCCAACCGCCCACGCCGCTGCCACAGGCCCAGGAGGACGCCATGTCCTGGTCCAGCCAGCAGGACACTCTGTCCTCCACAGGCTACTCCCCGGGCACGCGCAAGCGAAAGAGCAGAAAGCCCTCTCTGTGCCAAGCCGCCAGCGCCACCCCCACCGAGGGCCCCGGGGACTTGCTTGTTGAGCAGCCGCTGGCCGAGGAACAGCCCCCATGCGGGACCAGCCTCGCCCCGCTAAAGCGAGCGGAAGGTGAGGCTGATGCGGCGCGGGGCGCGGCCGAGCCCTTCCTGGCTCAGGCTCGGCTGGCCTGGGAGGCGCAGCAGGCCCACTTCCACATGAAGCAGAGGAGCAGCTGGGACTCCCAGCAGGACGGCTCTGGCTACGAGAGCGACGGCGCCCTGCCACTGCCCATGCCCGGGCCGGTGGTGCGCGCCTTCAGCGAGGACGAGGCGCTGGCCCAGCAGGAGAACAAGCACTGGAGGAGGGGCACTTTCGAGAAGCTTGGCTTCCCCCAGATCCTGCTGGAGAAGAGCGTCTCTGTGCAGACCAACCTGGCCTCACCGGAGCCCTACCTCCACCCCTCACAGGTGAGGGCCTGGCGGGTGGGCTGAGCTGGAGAGCCTGGGGTCAGGGTGGGCCCCATGGGCTGGGCACAGAAGACCTGGTGTCGTGGGTGTGCACACAGCATGTAGAGCTCTGAAGCCTGGTGTCGGCCTGGGCACTCCAGCAGGCTGTCAGGGTGTAACCGGGAGTCCACAAGGAGTCCCTTGTGGGGTGTGGGCTTCTGGGGGTACCCTGGCAGTGCCTTCCTCATTCTCAGGGCACCTGGGAGCAGGAGACCACACCCTGACTCGAGCCATAGAACAGAGGAGGCCTCAACAGACTGGGAGGGTGGCAGCCACCAGTGCTGTGGCCTGGGCTCCTGAGGAGCAGGCAGACAGGGTGTCAGGGGCTCTCTGGTGGTTCTTAAAGCCAGTCCCCAAGGCTCCCTCTGGTAGGAAGAGCTGCTGAGAGGCTGGACGCCCCGTGAATTCTGGGATGTTGCACACAGCCCAAGGCCTCACAGGTTCCTCACTGGGTGGCTGGAGCTGGGCTGGAGGCTGGATCCCACGGAGGCCACGTGCACTTGTTCTAATCTCCCTACCCTGGCCTTTCACACCAGTCTGCTACAGACACAGGAAGCCAAGGCAGAGGGCAGGCCTAGCGTCTGAGGGCCAGTGGCGGGAGGAAGAACCCAGATTGCTTCCTGGGGTGGGGAGGCCTCAAGAGCCTGGGTGGCCTTCATGGCCTCCAGGGTGGAGAGCTCAGGGCAGTTTCCAGTTTGTGCTTTTGTCCACTGCTCAAGATGCAGGAGGACAAGAGGACAGGCAGGAAAGAGGGCAGAGAGGCCTGGGGTGCAGAGCAGGGTCCTCTGAGAGCAGTAGCCAGAGAGGGGCCTCCTGGAGGTCGGCCTGGGGTGAAGGCTGGAGTAAGGGCCTGGGGTCCCAGGAGTGAGGGATTGGGAACCAGATGGCACCTTCACCTGGTATGAACTGCAGCCTTCCGTGTCTGAACGAGGACACTGACACTTCCTCGGCGGGCAGCAGAATGAGGTCAGCCCCCCAAGGATGCTAGTGGGTGCTCTTCTTCCTCCCACCTCACCCTCAGCCAGGTCATCTGGGTCACCCAACAGCAGTGCTACTCCAGCCGCCCTGCCTCACCCGAAGAGTGCAGGGCTCTGGTGCCCTGGCTGCCTCTGTGGACAGGCAGGGCTCCCTGGGTCTTGTCACCACCTCAGGCAACCTTGTGGTGAGCAGACGGTGCCTCTCGCCTGGCTGGCTCTGGTGGGGTCCCGGCTCACACTTCTCGGGGCTATGGCCCAGTGGGCCCATCTGCCTGGCCCTCTCCCTCCCCCTAACAGCCCAGCCCGGTTTGTCCTTCTCAGTCTGAGGACCTTGGTGCCTGTGCCCAGTTTGAGAGCAGCCGGCAAAGCCGCAGCGGCATGCCCAGCTCCAGCTGCGTCTTCCCCACCTTCACTCTGCGCAAGCCCTCCTCGGAGACCGACATCGAGAACTGGGCCTCCAAGCACTTCAATAAGCACACGCAGGGCCTCTTCCGGCGGAAGGTGTCCATTGCCAACATGCTGGCCTGGAGCAGCGAGTCCATCAAGAAGCCCATGATCGTGACCAGTGACCGGCATGTGAAGAAGGAGGCCTGTGAGCTCTTCAAGCTGATCCAGATGTACATGGGCGACCGGCGGGCCAAGGCCGACCCGCTACACGTGGCCCTGGAGGTCGCCACCAAGGGCTGGAGCGTGCAGGGCCTGCGGGATGAGCTCTACATCCAGCTGTGCCGGCAGACCACCGAGAACTTCCGCCTGGAGAGCCTGGCCCGTGGCTGGGAGCTCATGGCCATCTGCCTGGCCTTTTTCCCTCCCACTCCCAAGTTCCACTCCTACCTGGAAGGGTATATCTACCGGCACATGGATCCAGTCAATGACACCAAAGGTAAGGCGTTGCTCAGGCTCTGCCACCTGCTCAGGTAAGGGCAGTAGAGAGGGCTCCTGCTGTGCTGAGCAGCACCTGGTGAGTCCCTGGCAGCCCCCAGCACAGGGCTATGGCTCCACACACATCTGAAACACCACACACCCGGGGCCTCTGCTGGATGTGGGCCTCTTCCTAGAGCCCCACCTCTGCACCGAGGTGAAGAACCCTGGAGCCCTGGCAGACATGAAGCATAGGGCCTCGATGGCTGCGTCCACTCTACACCAAGCCCACCATGGCCGGTCCCGCTCCCTGGCAAAGGCAGGCACAAAGAGGCCAAGAGCAGAGCAGCTACGATCAGGCCCCTGCATGCCTGCTCCACCTGCCTTCGGCCTGGAGGGGTTACTACGCTGGCAAGACCCAGGCTGCCTGTTTTGGGCATGGTCCTGGCAGAAGGCTCCTGTGAGCAGGCAGGAGCACAATGGCAGTGGCTCACAGGCAGGTCATACAGCACCTGAGCTGTCCCAAAGCTGCCCCATGGGGTTGTAAGTTGGAGCCATCGTCACCCTGGTGCCTGCCTGGGGCAACATGGGAGGCCAGAGTGTGCCCAGGGCTCTCCAAGGCAATACTTAAGGTGTCCTGGGCCCACGCCATGGTGCCATCACCTGGGCAGGCGTGTCTGCAGCAAGCCACCCTCTACCTCACATCGTGGGTGTCTACAGGGCACAGCCACAGAACTGATGTCCAGACATGCACACAGATGCACACGCACATGCACACGAATATGTGGGCACACATGCTCACACATATACAGGCACGTACGAGCATGAACACGTGCACACATGCTTGCATGCATATGCATGCACGCACATGAACATGTGCACACACGCACAAACAGGCACACAGGCTCACATGTGCACACATGCGCACATGCATGCACATGAACCCGTGCACACAGGCACGCATATGCACACACCCACGTGTGCACACGAACATGTCAACATGCTCACGTGCACAAACACATGCATGCGCACGCACACATGTATGCACATAAACACTTTTTTTTTTTTTTTTTTTGTATTCGTATGTTTATCATTTATTTCCATTTCCCACCTGGATAGTCCCTGGAGATTTGATTTCTTGTTTCCTGGAGAACTAAAGACAGAAAGCAGAACTTGGTGTTAAATAATCTTTACCCTACACCTGTTCAAACTACCTTCAAGACACTAGTCATTTGTCCCGATGCACAAACATCAATCCAGGGACATGAAATTTTAACTATCAATAAATACTCTGACATCCGCACACACAGAGCATCTAATTCCCGCATCAAAATGCATATAAGCATGAAGAGATATTTGGATTTATGGCAAAAGGAGTCTCATCTGGAAACCCCTCCCAGGAAGGTCTGGCAGGCTGAGTGTAAAGAATTTGGGACGATGCCTGCATTTGCTCTGCCCATTTCTACCAAGTTGGTCCTATAATCCTGTTTAATTAATAATAAACATTGCATGAACACTTGTGCACGCACGCACATGCATAAACCCACACACGAACATGTGCACACGCTCACAAGCATGTGCACACACCCACACGTTCACACACATGAACATATGCACACACATGAACGTTTGCACATGCACACACCCAAAACTGCACATGAATACACATGCACATGCATGCACATACACAGGTGTGCACGTGCTCCAGGTGAGACATGCCATACTCTGCTCTGTGCCAGTGAGAGCCCACCCTTGTCTGGCCTTTGCCTCTGCAGAGATTGAGCTCCTGATCGGGGCCTTGCTGGGCCTCACTCCATCACCCCCAGCCCAGGTGAGGAAATCTAATGCTGCTATGGGCACACAGAGGCAGGGTGGGGGCCACAGGGCAGTGGGACAGTCCTGGGGACAGTGTGTTGGGTATCGGCACCACCCAGCCCGTCAGCTGTTTGTGCGGAGATTTTGGAAGCCATGTGGTTTTACCTGACATGGACTTTTCAGCACAAGATCACAGCAAAGGCAGAGCTTGGCAGGTGGCCCAGACTCCTGGTGTGTAGAGGACCAGAGCAGGGAGCCAGGCAGGCTGGGCTGACCTGTGAACTCCGTTCCTGGTTTTGGGCCCTTCAAGAAACAGGTGGAGTCGTAGGGACTGTGTTCCTATTAGCATCATAGCTCACCTCCTCGGCCTCTTCCAAAGGGGCCTAGAAACGTCCTGCCTGAGCTGGAAGCTGTGGAGCTGAGCCTCCGCTGCTTAGCACAGCATGCAGCCACAGTGGGTACCTAAGAGAAGGGCCAGGAGACAGATAACCAGACAAAGGCCTGAGGTTCCTTGGGCCCATCTTGGGCCAGCTGACTAGCCAGTGTGTGGCTGGGGCTTCCTGGGAGTTTGTGCCCCAGGCTGCTGCTCTTCACACACAGGCTGGTGTGCTTTTGTCCTCATGTCTTACACCTGCAGGGTCCAAGCCTACATGGAAAAAGGAATCAGGGTCCAACCTGGGTTTCCATGGCTTCAGAGCTCTGCCAAGGAAGGCCCATGAAGGCCAAGAGCACTGTATGGGTTGGAGTGACAGTGGGCCTGGGATCTGTGTGGTCCTACTGGCAGGTGGCCCACATCTAGGCTGTGGTACCATGGCCACCCTCACAGCCAGAATGCCATCTCCAGCCCCAAGAACCACTCCTAGGTTCGTCTGTCAGGGTCCCTGATTGGCCTGAGCCCAGAAGAGAGGCTTCTGTATACAAGGTGGCCATCCTTGCCCAAATGGGCCTCATACCCTCTCCAGTCAGCCTCTTGTCTCTATGAGGTGCCACCTGTCATATGCAGGTGCTGGCTGCTGCTCAGAAAGACAGGCCCAGCCAGGCACAGTGTCTCACACCTGTATCCCAGCACTTTGGGTTGAGGCAAGAGGATCCCTTGAGCCTGAAGTTTCAGACCAGCCTGGGCAGCAAAGTGAGACCCTGTCTTTTTTTTGAGATTGAGTTTCACTCTTGTTGCCCAGGCTTGAGTGCAATGACGTGATCTAGGCTCACCGCAGCCTTCACCTCCCAGGTTCAAGCAATTCTCCTGCCTCAGCCCCCTGAGTAGCTGGGATTGCAGACATGTACCACCACACCCAACTAATTTTGTATTTTTAGTAGAGACGGGGTTTCTCCATGTTGGTCAGGCTGATCTCAAACTCCTGACCTCAATTATCCATCCACCTCAGTGTCCCAAAGTGCTGGGATTACAGGCGTGAGCCACCGCACCCGGCCGTGAGACCTTGTCTTTATGAAAAATTTAAAAAAGGAAATTAGCCAGGTGTGGTGGTGCCTGCTTGTGGTCCCAACTACTTGGGAGGCTGAGACAGGAAGATTGCTTGAGCCCAGGAGGTTAAGGCTGCAGTGAACCATGATGGGGACACTGCACTCCAGCCTGGGCAACAGAGCAAGACCCCCGCCCCTTTTTTTTTTGAGACGGAGTCTCACTCTGTCGCCCAGGTTGGAGTGCAGGAATGCAGTGGGGCAATCTTGGCTCTCTGCAACCTCCGCCTCCTGGGTTCAAGTGACTCTCCTGTCTCAGCCTCCTGTGTAGCAGGGACCACAGGTGCACGCCACCACACCTGGCTAATTTTTGTATTTTTTTAGTAGAGGTGGGGTTTCACCATGTTGGCTAGGCTGGTCTCAAACTCCTCAGGTGATCCGCCTGCCTCAGCCTCCCACAGGCATTAGCCACCATGCCTAGCCAAGACCCTGTCTTTAAAAGCAAGCAAGCAAGAAAGAAACGCAGACCCTATTAGCCCAGAAGGATGTAGCTTATGCTCTGGAGGGCTAGCTAGGCTGTGGCACAGTTCTTAGAAAAAGGAAACTAACCTCAGGGCCAGGGCACTGGAAACCTCAGTGAGGGGCAGAGCTGAGTCTGGTGCATCGCCCTGAGCACCTTACCAGCCTCCACCTCAGGAGCCTTTGATTGACTCATCTACCAGCATCTGTGGGACCTGCACTGTATGGCTACCACCCTCAGGGACTGAGGCCCCTCAAGGTGATGTCCCCAGCTTAGCCTTGTGTCATGTGTGGTCACAACTTTCACACCAGCAGAGGGTCTCCTGGCCGGTCCCTGGGACCCCTCAGCAAGTTCTCGACACAAACATCGAGGCACACTGGCAGTGGGTATGTAGCCTTCAGCTTCCCCACCCTCCCACCTGCTCCACTTCTGTATTTTGGAAGGCTGGAGACCCTTAAAGGTTTAATTCACTGCTCACTTCTTCATGAATTCAGCAAGGCCTCCTGGCTTCCAGCTCAAGATGGCAGATTGAGCATGTGCATTTGCTTCACTTCTACCTTGAACTCACTAAAACGACGGTGAAGGAATTTTTTAAAGGAAGGAAAAAACCCACAAAGGAATGTAAAATGGTACAGCCACTGTGGAAACTGGTAGGCAGTTCCTCAAATAATTAAAAATAGAGATCCCATGTCATCTAGCAGTTCCACTTCTGGAATTACCCAAAAGAACTGGAAGCAGGGACTAATGGTCACTCATATGCCCATGTTCACAGCAGCACATTCCTATAACTAGAAGGTGGAAACAGGCCAGGGATCCATCAGCAGCTGAATGGGGAAACAAAACGTATCCAGCCATGAAGTGGAAAATTATTTCCAGCCTTAAAAGGGAAGGAAATTGGCCAGGCGCAGTGGCTCACGCCTGTAATCCCAGCACTGTGGGAGGCCAAGGTGGGCAGATCACAAGGTCAGATGGAGATCATCCTGATCAACACGGTGAAACCCCATCTCTACTAAAATACAAAAAAACTAGCCGGGCGTGGTGGTGCACGCCTATAGTCCCAGCTGCTCAGAAGGCTGAGGCAGGGAGTAGCTTGAACCTGGGCAGCAGAGGGTGCCTTGAGCTGAGATTGTACCACTGCACTACAGCCTTGGGGACAGAGCAAGACTCCGTCTCAAATAAAAAAGGAAGGAAGGAAATTTTGACATGCATATGGATGAACCTTGAGGACATCGTGCTAAGGGAAAGAAGCCAGTCACAGGACAAAGATTATATGATTCCACTTCTATGAGGTCCCTAGAGTAGTCAGATTCCTAGAGCCAGAAGGTACAATGGTGGGTACCAAGGGCTGGTGGGGAAAAGTGGAGATGAGTGTTTAATGGGGACAGAGGTTTACTTTGGGAAGATGAAAAAGTTCTGGAAGTGGACATTGGTGATGGTTGTACAACCATGTAAATGTACTTAATGCCACAGAACCATATATTTTAAAATGGTTAAAGTGGTAAATTTTATGTTACATGTATTTTACCACAACTTTAAAAACTCACAAAGAAAAAGAAAGTGGAAAAGGAAGAACAACTGTTTTAGAAGCTGGAGCACATGGACCAAGAACAGTGAATCCTGAGCAGATGGTGGGAAAATGAAGAGCTAAAGCAGATCGCAAACCCTTAGAAGCTCAAAAGTGGGTAGAGCCAGATTCCTCTAGCAAAGGGGGAAGACAGTGACGCCGAAGCTCAAAACAAAAGGATTGGTTAAAACTCTGCTTAAGAAGCAAAGCAGTCCGGGTGTGGTGGCTCACACCTGTAATCCCAACGCTTTGGGAGACTGAGGCGGGTGGATCACTTGAGTCCAAGAGTTCAAGACCAGCCTGGTCAACATGATGAAACGCTTGTCTCTACTTAAAAAAAAAAAAAAAATTAGCCAGACATGGTGACGTGCACCTGCAGTCCCAGGTACTCGGAATGCTGAGGCGGGAGAATCAGTTGAACCCAGGAGGCGGAGGTTGCAGTAAGCCAAGATCATGCCACTGCACGCCAGCCTGGGTGACAAAGCAAGACTTCATTTAACATAAATAAATAAATAAATACACTATTTTTTTTTCCAGACAGTGCCTCACTGTATGCGCAGGGGAGTGCAGTGGTACCATCACTGCTTACTGTAGCCTCCACCTCCCAGGCTTATGGGATCCTCCCACCTCAGCCTCCCAAGTAGCTGGGACCACAGGCACTACCCAGCCCAGCTAATTTTTTTCTTATTTTTTGTAGAAATAGGGTTTCACCATGTTGGCCAGGCTGATCTTGAACTCCTAGACTCACCCACCTCAGCCTCCCAAAGTGCTGGGATCACATGTGTAAACCACCAAGCCTTAGTATCTATTTCTATATACTAGCAACAAACTATTAGAAACTGGTATTTTAAAATGCCATTTGCAATTGCATGTATGTATTTATTTAGACACAGGGTCTCCAGGGTGGAGTACACTCACATTTATTTTTTATTTTTATTTTTATTTATTTATTTTTTTCCATTTATTTTTAATCACATTTATTTACTTACGTTGAGACTCTTTTGCCCAGGGCGGTGTGCAGTGGTGTGATAGCTTACTGTAGCCTCCAGCCCTTGGGCTCAAGCTACGATCCTCTTGCCTCAACTTCTCTGTACCTGCCTGCAGTAGCATTTTCAAATGTGACATACTTAGAGATGGATCTGACAAGGGAAATGTAAGGCCCCTGCAGTAAAAACTATAAACGATTCCTGAAATGAAAGCGGGTCTCAATAGATGAAGAGGTTTGCTCTGCTTGTGAATCAGAAGACTCAGTCCTGTTAGGCTGTGAGTTCCACCCAAATCCATCCAGAGATTGATTCGGAATGGAAATTTTATTATATTTCTTTATTTTAGAAATTGACAGGCTGATTTTAGAATTCATAGGAATTGCAAAGGACCTAGAATAGCCAAAACCCCTTTGAAAGAATTCAAAGTTGGAGGACTTACTCCACCTAGACTCATCAAGAGAGTGTAGCACTGGCTTCAAGGTAGACAGGTCAGTGCAACAGAATAGCGAGTTCAGAAACAGACCCATGTCTGCATAGGTCAGCTTTCCACAGTGCTGACCACTTAGTGAAGAAAGGATAGTCATTTCCTTCTTGGGGACTGGGAAAACTGGATATGCAATTGCAAACAAAAGATGAATTCCAATGCATATTTTGGCGTGTACACAAAAAATAACTACAAATGGATCACTCATAAACCAAGACATAAAACCTAAAACTACAAAACTTCTAGAACAAAACAGGAGAAAATGCTTTCCTGAGTGAGGCAAAGATTTTTATATGTAATTCCAAAGTACTGTCTATAAAAGAAAAACATTGATAAATTGGACTTCATCAAAATTAAGTCTCCTACAAAAGACTGTTAAAAGAATGAGAAGATACACCAGTTACAGACATGCAGAAGGAGGAAGGCTGGGTGACAAGCGGCAGTAGTGGAATAAAGTTAGAGGCCATGTTTAGCTGATACGGAGACAGATGGTCACATTCAGAAATATCTACCAATGTGCGTGTGAACAGGAGCTCATGTACACATAGGCATTTCCTCACTGTGAGCTGAGAGGGCCTGCGAACAATCAGTTCCCAGCAGCAGAAACCACATCTCACACTCAGATCCTGGTTTCTAAATACCATTTTTCATTATAAGGATTCAGGGCCGGGCACAGTGGCTCACGCCTCTAATCATAGCACTTTGGGAGACCGAGGCGGGTGGATCACAAGGTCAGGAGATCGAGACCATCCTGGCCAACATGGTGAAACCACCTCTTTACTAAAATACAAAAAATTAGCTAGGTGTGGTGGCATGCGCCTATAGTCCCAGCTATTCAGGAGGCTGAGGCAGGGGAATCACTTGAACTCAGGAGGCAGAAGTTGCAATAAGCCGAGATTGCACCGCTGCGCTCCAGCTTAGCGACAGAGCACTACATCTCAAAAAGAAAAAAAAAAAAGGATTCAGAATTCGGAGTTCCTTGGTGAAAGGGGTGATTCTAGGGCTGGTGCCAGTCATATATAAGATATCAGAAGTCAGGAAGTGCCAGAGGTGGTGGTGATGTCTGTCACAGGGACAGTGGAGCTGGTGGAACGAGCTCCCAGTGGCCAAAGCTGGAGCAAGTTGAGCAACAAGGTAAAGACTCATTGGATTATAACCCGTAAGTGGGCTGGGCACAGTGGCTCATGCGTGTAACCCCAGCACCTCTGGAGGCCGAGGAGGGTAGGTCATTTGAGATCAAGAGTTCAAGACCCACCTGGCCAACAGGGTGAAACCCTGACTCTACCAAAAATAGAAAAATTAGTCGGACATGGTGGTGCATGCCTGTAATTCCAACTACTCAGGAGGCTGAGGTGGGAGTTGCTTTAACCCAGACGGTGGAGGTTGCAGTGAGCTGAGATCGCACGACTCACTCCAGCCTGAGTGACACAGTGAGATCCTATCTCAAAAAAAAAAAAAAAAAAAAAATCTGTAAGTCTACACTGATACAAATGAATGATTCAGTAGATAGAAATAGACAAATCTGTGCAGAATAATTACAGATAATTGCTGTAGATGTCCACCGTCCAGGAGCTGGAGCCTAACTCCACCCCTGAGGTGTGGGCCGGGCACAGTGGCAACTCATACAGAGTGTGGTACAGAGCGGGAAGAGGCGGTGCCTCACACAAGCCTGCCAGCCTCGGCCTCAGCCAGGTCATCACGGCCAGTGGCAACAGTGCCAAGCTGTGCTGTCCAGAGCAGGAGGCAGGCCAAGGTCAGCCTGAGGGGAGCTCCCCTCCTCTCTGACTGCAGTGCCTGGCTTGGGGCTAGCTGCCTTGACCCCCTTGTTTCTGTTGGTTTTCTGACCAGCAGGCAGAGTCCAGGCCCACTGCCGCCCCAGCCTTGCCACCAGCCAGAGGGCAGAAGCTGCCCGCTCTCCTGCCTGGGTGCCTTCCCTGCACCTCCACTTGCCCCAGCATGGGCACAGCAGCTTCCTGGCCCACACGATGCTCAGAAGGGCCCCTGCCACCTCTCTTTCTCACACAGCCACGTCCCCCCAGACATGCCCCGCCCCCCAGCTGAACAGGGTCAGTCCCCAACAGGCCCAGGGGCCTCCTCACCAGCCAAGTGCGGGAGCTGAGTGGGCATTGGCTCCTGGCGTTGTGTTCTGTGGTCCTCATGGTTCTCTTTGCTCCCCAGTGACACAGCACATAAAAGAGCTTCTGGAAAGAAACACTAAGAAGAAGTCCAAATTGAGAAAGAAACCCAAGCCTTATGTTGAAGAGCCGGATGGTAGGGCCTCTCCCCGCAGCCCCTGGGCGCTGCACCTGCACAGCTCCGCTCTCCAGCCTCGGCCGCCTGGCCTTCCCTTCTCTAACCGCTTCTGGGCAGGGGGGATGGGGCCACTAACCTCAGGCCTGGGGCCTCCTGAGCGAGGTGGAGGGCCCCGTGACTGACTGGACCCCTAGAGAGGCCAAGCCTGCTGCACCTGTCTTGGTGGTGCCCGGAGCCATTTCCAACTTTCTTGCTGGGTTCTTGATGTGGGGGGGAGGCGTGAGGACTTACCAGCTGAGGGCTACTGGAGGCACCCCAGGTGAGTGTTTGGCCCTGACCCCGAGAGTGAAATTTGCAGGTGGAGGGGTGTGTGGTGCCCTGCAGGCAAGCACCCCTCAGCCCTGTCTTGCAGCCCACGGCTGGCCCTGAGCCACAAGAGCCAAGCCTGGCATTCAGAATCAGAAGGAGTTGTCCCTCCCTTTGATGGTGGGACAAGCCCCCAGAAGCCAAGGGAGGGCTTTCGCACCTTCCCCACCAGCAGCTTTCCCATGCACTCTCACCCAGCTCTCACCTCTCCCCCCTCCCCCCACAAGTCCCTGGCTCAGGAAAGCCCTGTGAACCCAGGGCTGTGCCCTCCCTTTTGAGAGGTGTGCCTTTTTTTTTTTTTTTTTTTGAGACAGAATCTCACTCTGTAGCTCAGGCTGGAGTACAGTGGTGCGATCTTGGCTCACTGCAACCTCCACCTCCCAGTTCAAGCCGTTCTGCCTCAGCCTCCCAAGTAGCTGTGATTACAGGTGTGTGCACCACCATGCCCAGCTAATTTTTGTATTTTAGTAGAGACAGGGTTTCACCACGTTCGCCAGGCTGGTCTTGAACTCCTGACCTTGTGATCTGCCCTTCTCGGTCTCTCAAAGTGCTGGGATTACAGGTGTGAGCCACCACACCTGGCTGAGATGTGTTGTCTTACCAAGTCAGCTGCACACACACACATCTGCACACACAGGCTTCCAGTACCATCCTGCCCACTCCTGCAGTGGTTTGGTCCTGCCACACTGTGCCTCACCCACTCATCTGTCCAGAACTCCACCACCCACCTCTCTGCTCCACTGCACTTCCTTTGAGACTGCTTGGCTTAGGCACCCCTTCCTCCAGGATGCCATCTCTGACTACGCTGCCCATGCAGGCCCAGAACAAAGCTAGCAAGCTTTCCGTGGATGAGGTTTGCTTAGGGCAAACTTCAGGGCCAGCAGGAGGCTATAGGGGCATGAAGGGCCCTCATGGGGGGTGCCAGGATGGCATCTGCCAGGCTGAGGGCTTGTCCTCACCCTGGTGCCTCCAAGGCTGCCACCAGCAGGTCTGTGCCAGGGGACCCTGGGAGAAGGGAGCCAGTTGCAATCTAGGGGTGGGATTCCTGGCCATAGAGGTCATCAGACCACTCCATCTGGGGCAATGTAGAAGGAGCTCTGCGCTCCTGCCTGAGCTGGCGTCCGGTGGCCTGAGAGCTGACCAACAGCATTGGCCGTAAGAGTCTTCTGGCTGCAGCCAGGCGGAGCGGGAAGCAGACTATTCTGTGCCTGGAGTGGAGCCCAGTGGGACACTGCAGCCCAAGGATGTCAGGTGGGGAGCAGGGTCGACACCAGGAGGCCCTGGCCACACCTGGCGGCCTGGGAGGCTTGCGACCTGGTCCTGTAGCTCTGAGGGAGATGAGGGCTGAGGTCCAGGCAAATCCAGATCAGGGCAGTGGGCTCAGAGCAGAGCATTCCACACAGGTGAGGGTCTTCCTGGGCTGGATGGGCACTGCCCACTCTTCCACCACAGGTCAGCAGATGTCTTGGTGCCTGGCCTTGTGCCTGATGCAGTGTGAGCAGGAGTCATCCCAGCAGCCTAGATCTTGAGGCACAGGCAGCCTGACCCCCAGAGTGAAGTTTGCAGGTTCAAGAGTATGGCGTCAGTCCCTGGCCTACCCACTACGGTCATGACACTAGCAGCTGCTTGCTGAGCACTGCATGAGACAGGTGTTGTCATGGCCCCATTCTACAGAGGAGTAAACCAAGGCACAGAGAGACTGCATCATGCCTTCCATCACCAGTTGAGAGATGGTGGCCCCAGGGTATCCCAGTCAGAGTGCTGGAGGTTGTACTAGTCCCAAGCAGGCTCAGTCCTGGCCCTGCCGTCTGCCCCAGACTCCCACTGCCTAAGGACTACATGTCCCAGCTGCTGAGCTGAGGCCCTGGGTTTCTGCCGCCTTCCTGCAAAGCTTACTCCCTCCTGCCTTCTTGGAGCTCTAAAGCCTGGGTCCAGTGTGTGTGGGCACCATCCATTCTAGAAAAACAAGGGTACCTCACAGCCTGCCCAAAAGTCCAAGAGGGGTCCTTGGCAGAAGGTTCCATGCTGGAGGCTGGGGCTGGATCCTCTTCTAGGACCCTGTTGTCCCAAGGACTGTAGCAGATTTTCTAGGACCCAAACATCTATGAAAAAAATTTTTTCCTTCTGGTTACTCTAAAAAAGAATCTCCTTGGCAATTACATGTCAACTGTTTTGTGATAATTAGAGATGAAAAGGCATTCATGGACTCAAGACACATCTGTTTTGAACCTGGGTTCAAGGACCCTATGTCCTCAGCTGTCCATCAGAAACTGCTCCTTCAAATAAGACAAAGGCATTCCAATTGGGGGTCAGGATCCAGAGGCCACCCTTACCCTGGCAGGTGGTAGGCGCTGGGCACTGGGGCAGCTCCCATGTCCAGAAGCACAGGGTCCTGTCTGAGGTCCATGGCTCCCCTGGCCCAGAATGGCTTCTCCTGGTGTGTTCTCTCATTTGCTGCTTCCCAACCTGGAGCGGGAAGGTGCTGCTTCTTCCAGACCCAGCCTGGGAATCCTCTTCCCCTCTACACCTCCTGGGCCCAGTGCCTGGAGATTTTCCAGGCTGAGGTTCCCGAGTCCCTGCCCAGGGGCTGGCTCAGGCACACTGCCCCTCACCTCAAGGACCATCAGCGGCGCCCCTGCTGTCAGGAGCTGAGTTTTAGCCCCTCCCTTGAGAAAGGAGACCAGGACCTCTCATTGCCGCCTCAGTCCTTCAGAAGAGCCCAAAGGTGGTGTTTCAGGGCCAGGCTGCAGCAGAGCTGGGCTTGCTGTTCAAATAGCCCAGCGCCTGCCTCCCCCAGCACTGGCCCCAGGTGCTGGGTAGGTGGAAATGACTCCTCCAGGGGCTCCTGCCCACAGTCGCAAAGCCAGGGAGGGGCCTGAAGCAGAGAAGAGCCAAATACCTGGACAGCTCCCTGGGTCAGGCCCAAGGAGAGAGCAGTAGGGTCTAGAGGCCTCAGACCCAGGTCCTGCCCTTGTGTTCCTGCGTGGCCGTGGGAGGGGTGGGTGGGCTGCCAGAGCTGTTCCTCCCCAGACTGTCCCTCTGGAGGTGGGGAAGCACCCCTTGGGTCTCTGCTCTAAAGGACACTGCCTGGGAGAGCATGAGGACCTGCTGCACTGGGCAGGGGGTGGACCAGGCCAGTCCAGCCCCCAGGACCCTTGAAGGGGCTGCATCTATTCACCCCTCTCCTGGCCCCATGCTCACACATCCGCACCAGGCTGATGAGGCCCCATTCCTTTCCAGGGGTGGCGATAAGCACATACGCCAAGTATTGTTACCACAAGCTGCAGAAGGCAGCCCTAACTGGGGCCAAGAAGGTACGAGTGCGCCTGGGAGACCGGGGAGGGCAGTTGTGCACACAGGGACGCTTGGTGAACAGCCTGGGGGCCTAGTGTGGGGTGGCAGTCTAGAGGGTGCCACACAGCCCACCTAGGCAGGTGGCAGGGTGTGCCAGGCAGACCCTGGGCTGCACCCTCCCCCGGGGGCTCTTCCCCAGGCCCAGACCCCCAGCTTAGGAGCAGGGCACGCAAAGAGCTTCAGTCACATGGCACGACAGTACCATCCTGTCCTCCCAAGCCAGGTACAGCGCCCATAACTGAGGGAATTCCCTCAGGCACCCCTGGACATGTCCAAGATCCTGGCCCCTTTGCCACGTCCTCTTCCCTGATGGCACTGCTCCCATGACACGGGGGCTCTCAGCCCTGCCACAGACTTCTGGACATTTCACCCCAGATCAGCCGGCTTGGCCCCTGCTGTGCTCCCTGACAGCCCTGGGTGGCCCAGTAGTCACTCCCACCTTCCCAAGGGACTATGAGAGCTGTTGCTGTAGGCAGTGACTCCGGCTAGGGAGCTGGGTTTGTCCCTGGTCTAGTTGGAACCAGGAGTTCACAGGGATGAGAGGAGTAGGAGGCAGAGCCAGGAGCAGCCCAGGAGGAATTAGAGTTTGGGGAATGAGGAGGGCTGGGAGCAGGGCAGCCAGGCCAGACCAGGACGGAGCCACTATCTTCACAGGGGCTAAAGAAGCCTAACGTGGAGGAGATCCGGCATGCCAAGAACGCCGTGTTCAGTCCATCCATGTTTGGCAGCGCGCTGCAGGAGGTCATGGGCATGCAGCGGGAGCGCTACCCCGAGCGCCAGCTGCCCTGGGTGCAGACGAGGCTCTCTGAGGAGGTGCTGGCACTCAACGGTGACCAGACAGAGGGCATCTTCAGGTGCCATGGCAACCCCGGGTGCCGGGTGTAGGGGCCACAGCCCTGTGGGTGTCATCCATGCATCTCTGGCATGCAGGGGTCATTAAGCCTAAGGCCCACTGGGCTGCTTCTGCACCCCTACCTGAGAGTAGGTGGAAGGTTGGGGCCCCAGTGTGGAAGCTGACCCCGAGGGTGTTCAGGCCAGGAGAGAGAGGGCAAGACCCATTCTGAAGAGGCAGCACAGCCAATGAGGGAGGGTGCCCCTGCAGATATGGCCACAAGGGGTCTAGAGCATGCTTGGACACCAGCCATGGGCAGCCTGGGGCGTCAGCCTCAGAGATAACAGGCAGCCCCCTGACTCACCAGAGAGTCAGCTGGGGAAACAGGCTTGTGGGTTTGGTCCCTTGGAGAGGTGGTCCTTTGGAGAGGGCATCCACACAGGGAGCCAGCAGCGATCCAGGGAGGGATAGTGGACCTGGGGAAACCACACTCAGACCCAGGTGTGTGGGGCAGAATCCTGAAGAGTGCCACCCACCTATCTTCACATGAAAGAGGCCAGCTGGGGTGGTGGGGGGTGGCAGGGGACCTGAGGTTCTGCTCCCCTCCCGGGGTCAGCAGGGGCCAGTGGGATCTAGTGTCCAGGCAGAATCAGGAAGCCCTGGTGCAGGCTCCTGTAGCCTGAGACCTGCCCTGTGCCCTGCAGGGTCCCCGGGGACATTGACGAGGTGAACGCCCTGAAGCTGCAGGTGGACCAGTGGAAGGTGCCCACAGGCCTGGAAGACCCCCACGTCCCCGGTGAGTCCTCAGCAAGCTCTGCAGGGGAGGAGCCTAGCTCAGGCAGTGGTTCTCAAGGGGCCCCTGTTTCCACCTCTGGGGCCCACCCTGATCCTGCCCCTGCCCAATGACACGATGGACTCCCGGCACAGACATCCTCCTGCCCATTGAACAGTCTCCCCAGGTGTCTTCGAGGCACCCCGGGTTCTGCCTGTACACTGCAGCCCAGCCTGCTGCTCTGTGCCCCGGTGCCCTTCAGCCAAGCCTGCTGTGCAGATACCCCTCACGGCAGCTGCAGAGGCTCCTCCTCAGAAAAGTCCTGTTTTGCACGTTTCTGCGAGTATGATCCCCCATGCCTTCAGGATAAGTTCATGCCCCTGGGGGTCCGGGTCCAGCCTGGCCATAGGTGCCCTGACCAGCCCTCCCAGCACCCTTCCATGCGTGTCTGCCACCGGACCCCACTTGGTCCAGGGGTGCCCGCTGAGCAGGCCAGCTGAGCCCCGTGCTGTGTCCCCAGCGTCCCTGCTGAAGCTGTGGTACCGGGAGCTGGAGGAGCCCCTGATCCCGCACGAGTTCTACGAGCAGTGCATTGCGCATTACGACAGCCCCGAGGCGGCGGTGGCCGTGGTGCACGCCCTGCCCCGCATCAACCGCATGGTGCTCTGCTACCTCATCCGCTTCCTGCAGGTACGCGGGCGGGCCGCCGGGTTTCCCTCCCCCGGGTCCCCGCTGCTTCCCCCGCCCCTCCCCCCCGCGCCCACCCTCGCTCCTCCGCCAGGTGTTCGTGCAGCCGGCCAACGTGGCGGTCACCAAGATGGATGTCAGCAACCTGGCCATGGTGATGGCGCCCAACTGCCTTCGCTGCCAGTCCGACGACCCGCGCATCATCTTCGAGAACACCCGCAAGGAGATGTCCTTCCTGCGCGTGCTCATCCAGCACCTGGACACCAGCTTCATGGAGGGCGTGCTGTAGTGGGGACGCCCGGGGATGAGAGGGACGTCCCGCCGCCCCCAGCCAGGCTGAAGCCCGCACTCACTCTCTCAGCCGAGGGGCCCGAATCGCCCGGCCCAGCACCGGAGCCCCCTTCCCCTCTTCCCCAGGCCCTCGGCCCGGCGCTCCCCAGGTCTTTTGTCTGGTCTGAGGGTGCAGCCAGAGAAGAGCAGCGACGGGGAGGGCGCCTCTGGCCCCCCACCTCACGGCCAGTTCCTGCGGGTACCACCTCGCCCTCCGCTGGCCTCGGGTCAGCTCCGAGAAAGTGCCTTCTGTGTCCTGGAGCCGAGCGACACTGCCCGCCTTGGGGCCGGGCTGCCTCCCTGTGACTCCTGCGCGCCCTGGTCTGGGTCTCGCCCGGCCGCCCCCGTCTCTCCTTCCCTTTCTCCAGTCCTTGTCCTCCAGGCCTGCAGCTCTTCCCAGCCCCGAGGGAGCTTCCCGACCTGTCCCCGCCTTCTCTTCCCCCGCCCCTCGGCCTGCGGTCCCCAGGTGGGGACTGCTCAGGAGTTTGGGGGCTCCAGGGCAGTGGGCCCATGGCCTGGCAGGCGCTCTGTGGGTGGGATGGGGCCCCCAAACCAAAGTCGTCTGGGGTAGGGGGCAGGGCGGGGGAGGGGCGAGAGTATTTTTTCTTCGTGTAACTATAAATCCAGAATCCTGCATCGCAGCCCACCCGTGTATAGAGATATAAATAGAAGGAAGATATAAGAACTAAATTTGCTAATGACATAGTTTTAACCTAAATGCTATTTATCTCTGAGCCGTCCCCGGCCTCCGTGCAGAGCAAGTTGATGTCATTCCTTCTTTTCTTCTCCAATCTTATTTCTTGGCTTCTGACCAAAAACCAAGCCCTACCCCATCCCCATCCCAGACCTGCGGCAGAGGAGCGGGAAGGCGCCGGGGCCAGGACTGCCTGTCCTCGAGGCCAGAGCTGCTGGGGGACCGAGTTTGTACATTTTCCATTTTGGAATTTTGAGTTCCAATTGTTGTAAAACTTAATTTCTCCCCAGTTTATATATATATATATTTTTTAGAATTCTGTTTTTATTTATTAAAAATAAAAGGCCCAGCCCTGCCAAGGCCCAGGCGGCGTCCTCAGTCGGGTGGTCTCCGGGCCTTCGCGGCCCAACCCGGCCGCAGGCGCTCGTCCCGACGCATGGACCGAGAGGCGACGACTCGCGTGAATAAAGTGCACATGGACCCTGCGCCGCCTCCAGTTCCTTGTGGGCGCGGCCGGGCCTCCTTGGGGCAGGAAGAGATGCGGGGCCGACCAAAAGGGGCCGCACCGGTGCACGCTGCTCCGAAGGCTAGGACGGGCGAGCCCCGGAGGCCAGAGGGAGAGGGAAGAGCACCGGGCTCTAGTCGGGGAGATGGGGCGCCGCCGGAACGCGAAGCGCGGGACCCCTGTTGCGGGCCGGCGCGAGTTCGCGCAGCACCGCCCCCAGCGTGACCTGCTAGCCGCTTCCGGCTCGGAAGGACAATGTGGCCGCCGTGCGGGGCGCTCCGAGCCCTCGCCTTGGCGCGGTTGCGGGGTGTCCGAGCCTGCAGCATGGACGGGAGCGTTTCTTACACGCAGGGCCAGAGTCCCGAACCCCGGACCCGCGAGTATTTCTACTACGTGGACCACCAGGGCCAGGTGGGCGGGGGCAGGGCCGCAGGCGGGGTTCTCTGTGGCCAGGGCTGTTGCTCGAGGGGCGGGGCCAGGAGTGGTCCTTGCGGGCGGAGGCCGGGGCGCTCTGGAGACCGGGCCGTGGCTCGAGGGGCGGGGCCGGAGAGAAGTCGCACGTAGGTGGGCGGGACCTGGGCGGTGGGCGACCTAATGCCGCAGAGCTGGAGCGGCGCGCGCTAGAAAGACGGGAACCTGGGTCGATTTGGGCCGAGGCTCCTGCACGGGCCGCGTCCCTGCTACGCTGTGCAGCTCCGGACTCTTGACTTGCAAGCCCCCACCCCCGGCGCTGAATTCTTGCCGCTATCGGGTAGTCAGACACCCGGGCCGCCCCTCCTTTTTTGGAAGCCCTGTCTAATCATCCGGCATGTCCCGGAATCAGCAGGCCAGGCAGCCCCCGCGGAGGTGGCACAACTGATTACAAACTTGAGGGAAAAGTTACCAGAAAGATTTGCCTGACCAGGGAGCAGAGGTGCGCATAGATGAGAAGTCGGCAGGGCCCCCAAGTTTACCTTCCGCGCGCCTCCCTGCATGCGGTGCGCTCATACTAGCAGGCAAAGTGGGCTCGGGCCGGCTCAGGACCGCCCGAGCGTCCCCGCCCCACCTGCCCGCTGGGACTCATCACGGCCCGGCCCTCTGTCCGCAGCTTTTCCTGGATGATTCCAAAATGAAGAATTTCATCACCTGCTTCAAAGGTACTGCTGTGCCGCCCTCCCCTGCCCCTTCCTTCTCCCTTCAGGGCAGCCCCGGATGGGCTCCCCGACTCTGCCGATGGGCCCAGCGCGCCAAGGAGTGAGCGTCTGCCCTTAGTGTGGTCCTGGGCCCGGAGGCCTTGGGAGCCCAGCGCGCTGAGTACCCGCCCCCTTCATCCCCCAGACCCGCAGTTCCTGATCACCTTCTTCTCCCGCCTGAGGCCCAACCGCAGCGGGCGCTACGAGGCCTCCTTCCCCTTCCTCTCGCCCTGCGGCAGAGAGCGCAACTTCCTGCGCTGCGAGGACCGGCCGGTGGTCTTCACGCACCTGCTGCTCGTGGGCCACGGGCCCCCGCGCCTCTCCTACTGCGGCGGAGGCGAGGCCCTGGCTGTGCCCTTCGAGCCAGCGCGCCTGCTGCCCCTGGCCGCCAACGGGCGCCTGTACCACCCAGCGCCGGAGCGAGCGGGCGGTGTGGGCCTGGTGCGCTCCACCCTGGCCTTCGAGCTCAGCGCCTGCTTCGAGTACGGGCCCGGCGCGCCAGCGCTACCCTCGCACGTGCTCTGGCAGGGCCGCCGCCTCGCCCTCACCATGGATCTGGCCCCGCTGCTGCTCGCGGCTCGGCCGCCCTGAGCAGGGGCGGGAGAAGGGCGGGAGGCCGCGGGCGCCCCTCACCCTACTCCCTCGGGAGTCCGCGCCCCGGAAGGCCGGCGCCACTGGCACTCGCGGCAGCCTAGTGCGCCTGCGCGCCGCGGCCTCCTCCCTCCCCCGGCACTGTCCTTGGTGCTGCCGCGGCCCGGCAGTCCCGGACCCTCTGCTCCCATCGGCGCGCGCCCCCCGCGCACCCAGCCCGGGCGCCCTCTGGATTGGCCCGCGCTCGAGACGTCAGGCCCTGGCGGCGGGCGCGGTTGGCGCGGGACTCTGGTGCGCGTGCGCGAGCGTCCCTCGCCCCCTCCCAGCCCGGCCGCTGTTCCGGCCTGGCAGCCACCTGCACGGCGGGGGAGCCGCTCGCCGCGGGAGCGTCAGGTGAGGGGACGCCCGACCCAAGGTCACCAGGCGTGCGGGGGGAGGGGTTCGGGGTCCATCCCGGCTCTGATCCTGGTGCGCTTCGAGAAGGGCGTAAGTCCTGGAGGGGGATGGGGAACGCGGAGGCCACGCCCTCCCTGAGCTTGGCCCAAAAACGACCGGCGCTCGGGGGTAGCAGAGGAGGCCTTGGGGCTTCCAGGCACCGGGTCGCAGTGCTGCAGAGGTGCGCAAGGGCCGCCCAAAGACCCTACCTTGGGCCTTGCACTGGCCGGAGGGAGGCACAGGGCGTTCCATCCTCTTTTCTCCACCCCTCCCGCACAGAGGGGCGCCCAGGAGGCAATGACAGTCGTCGCGGATTCCTGCATGTGACGCCCGCCCGCCCCTACCCAGTGGATTAGGGGGTTGTCCTCTGGTAAAGGATTTCTGGGCTTCTTCCAGCCTGGAGCCCTGGCTGGCCATTCTACGCCGAGCTGCTTCTAGGGGGGTCAGCGTGAGCAGCAGCGCCCTGAGTTCTGAGGAGGCTACTTCTCCACTTGAGACGCCTTCTTGCGGGAGGCTGTTAGGGCCAGGCCTGGAGCCATGTACCAGTTCTCTATATCCAGGGAAATGGATCCCAGGGGCCCAGATCATGTCCCCAACTTCTTGGGGTTCACACACATCCTGAGACATCTGGGAACTGCCTCTGCCTGGGCCAAAGCTATTCCATTAAAACTTTATTGCTGTGCTTACTAATCTCTAATGACTTTAAATAATCATGTGAGTTACAATTTAAGGCAAGAATTAAACAAACACCAAGGCCACTTGGTCCCTTTCCATATGACTGGGCAAGAAGGAAGAAAGAGCTGGTGGACAGGCAGATGTTCAGGGAGGGAGGCCCGATGACGCTGGGACCCAGGACATCTGCAGCCTTGTCTTCCCTGGCATCTCCGCTCACTGCAACCTCTGCCTCCCGGGTTCAAGCGATTCTCCTGCCTCAGCCTTCCGAGTAGCTGGGACAACAGGCGGGCTGTTGTCCGCTGGGTGGGCTGGCTTCTCTGCCCAGATCCCTACTTTTAAAACGGATCTCTTTGTGCCCGAAACCAGACACCAGCCTTCCCATATCCTTAGGACAAGTGCACGCATTATGGTCCCCAGCATACTCCATGCTCCCTCCTGATCTCAGGAGGTCACACTGCCCCCAGAGCCCACAGGGGAAGCCATGCCAGAAACCCAGTTGGTGGCCCAAGGCTTCCCCATCACAGCCCAGCTTTCCCAGGGCCCCATCTATCCTCAAAAACAGGACATCTTTCTGGGACCAGCATGGGAAGCACAGACCCGTGGCTCCTGAGCTGACTTTCCAATTATTTTCCTTATCCCCCAATTCTGACAGGTTACCTGAGAAAAAGCCCAATTTTAGTTAAGCTGCCCAGGCCAGCAGGAGCGGGTGCTGGATAAAGCTGTGCTCGACTTCCCTGGGGCTAATAGCTCCTCTGAGGCCTCTTCCCCGGGGGCCCCCAGCAAGTTATGACAGATGAACCCCAGGGTGGGAGGCAGAGCATGAGTTCCAGGGACAAAAGGACATGGGTTAAGGTCAATTGGGGCTCTGGACTTTATCTTGGGGGCACAAAGGGACCTCTCCTCTGGGCCTCAGGAGGTCACATGCCAGCCCCCACAGAAAAACAAGGGGGGGCGTGTCTGCCCCGGGCCTGCTCTCCCCATCCTAGCCATGCTTCGGCAATAGGGCCCTCAGTTTTGTCACCTAAGCGAAGTTCCCAAACCCGTACCCCGTACTTCCAGCTTCTTGCGCCCTAGAACCAAGCAGCAGCCACTTGCCTGGGGGTAGAGTCAGGGGCAGCAAGGGCGGAACATCCACGTCCTGAACAGGAAGCTCCTGACCTCCTGGGCATGGGTGGAATAGGAATAGAAGGGGACGGGGCTGGGTGGCTCTTCCTACATGGTCTTCACATCCTGTGAGGAGACTAAGGACACGAGGAATTCTAAATTTGAACCTGATGCCCCAGATCTTTAAGAAAATGTTTTTGTCAAGGGAAGAAACGACGTTTTATTAGTTTCTGGAACCGATTTATAGCTTCAAAGTTAGCCACGGCCGGGTGCAGTGGCTCATGCCTGTAAGCCCAGCACTTGAGGAGGCCGAGGCGGGTGGATCACGAGGTCAAGAAATCGAGAGCATCCAATATGGTGAAACCCCGTCTCTACTAAAAACACAAAAATGAGCTGGGCGTGCTGGCGCCTGTTGTCCCAGCTACTCGGAAGGCAGAGGCAGGAGAATCGCTTGAACCCGGGAGGCAGAGGTTGCAGTGAGCGGAGATCGCGCCATTGCACTCCAGCCTGGCGACAGAGCGAGACTCCGTCTGAAAAAAAAACAGACGCAGATGCAGGCCCCCCATCCCCATGCCTGCTATTGGCTGGCTCTCGGCTGCCGAGACTGGCCTGCCGCCCTGTGTTTCAGGAGGGTACGCGTCCGCGGCTGGACCGCTATGGGCCGGTGAGTTGCCGGGTCTCGGGAGATGGCCCCAGGGGGACCCGCGTTGTTGCTGCTGCTGCTTCTGTTGTTGCCGCCGCCGCCGCTGCCCGGGCTCCCGCCCCGCGCCGCTGGCTGCCCTGTCGCCTGCCGCTGCTACAGCGCGACGGTGGAGTGTGGCGCCCTGCGGCTGCGAGTCGTTCCGCTGGGAATCCCGCCAGGGACGCAGGTGGGCACCGTGTGAGGCTGCTGGAGGATGGGGTGCGCCAAGGGAGAGGAAGACCCCAGCGGCGGAGTAAGCTCCTTCTCTTTCCTCCGCTCGCAGACGCTGTTCCTGCAGGACAACAACATCACGCGCCTGGAGCCGGGAGCCCTGGCGCCGCTCGCCGCTCTGCGCCGGCTCTACCTACACAACAATAGCCTGCGCGCCCTGGAGGCCGGCGCCTTCCGCGCGCAGCCGCGCCTGCTCGAGCTGGCCCTCACCAGCAACCGGTTACGCGGCTTGCGCAGCGGCGCCTTCGCAGGCCTGGCCCAGCTGCGCGTGCTCTACCTGGCAGGCAACCAGCTAGCGCGGCTACTGGATTTCACCTTCCTGCACCTGCCGGTGAGCGCCTGGGGTCTAAAGTGGCGGGATACTCCATTATGGCTCCACGCCCTGTAGGGACGGAGTAGTTAGAAGAGGCAACAGTCTAGCTTGGTAAGAAGGGGACCTGCCCCCAACCTCGGCATCCTTTTTTCCTCACGAGCTGCTGTCCCTGCTCCAGCGACTGCAGGAGCTTCACCTGCAAGAAAACAGCATTGAGCTGCTGGAGGACCAGGCTCTAGCGGGGCTGTCCTCCCTAGCACTGCTGGACCTCAGCAGGAACCAGCTGGGCACCATCAGCCGAGAGGCCCTGCAGCCCCTGGCCAGTCTGCAAGTCCTGCGCCTCACAGGTACCTCTTCCCCTAAAGCATCTGTTTTGTCCACGGTGGTGGCAGCAGGGGGCAGGCTCATGTGTAGAGGGGCTCTGACAGGAGGCAACCGGGCAGGTCTGGAGGGCCCCACCACCACCTGCAGCCGTGGTGGAGGGCTGGGGGAATGGGCGTGCTGGGGGACACAGCTCAGGCACCCTGCCTAAGACAGAAAAGACAGGCACCCCACAGAGTGACTTGACAGAATTAAGGGCTTTGTACACTTTTCAGCTATGAGAGGGCAGGCAGACAAAAACTGGACAGGAGAGAGACAGCTGACCAGGACTGAGGACATCCCCAGGAGAGGGCATCCAAAAACAAGGCTGACAGGATTTGCAAGGTTTCAGTGTTTGTGACATGTCTATGTGGATCCCCAGGTTCCCATAAACTGTGGGACTTGTTTCAGGAAGACTTGAGGAGGTGCTTTCTCAGAGACGAGCGGAGAAGTGATCTGGAATAGGCAGGCATTACAGAGCTTAATTGGGGGAGGGGAGAGGAGGGGCCTGGCGCCACCGCCAGGAGCTTGAGGTCAAGGAACGGGTGGCAGGGGCCATGGATTCCGTGTGAAAAGGCTGTAGGAGGTGGAAAAGAGGCCCCGTCCTGGCCTACAGAACCCCAACTGTACAGGCTGTGTTCTAGCACCACCTCCAAGCCACCTGCCTGACGCTGCTCTCCCACAGAGAACCCCTGGCGTTGTGACTGCGCCCTGCACTGGCTGGGTGCTTGGATCAAGGAGGGTGGCCAGCGGTTGCTCAGCTCCAGGGACAGGAAGATCATGTGTGCAGAGCCCCCTCGCCTGGCGCTCCAGAGTCTCCTGGATATATCCCACAGCAGCCTCATCTGCATTCCGCCCTCTGTGCACGTGCAGCCGCTGGAGCTCACAGCTAACCTGGGTGAGGACCTGCGGGTTGCCTGCCAAGCCTCCGGCTACCCGCAGCCCTTGGTGACCTGGAGAAAGGTGCACCAGCCACGTGAGGGCCGGCCACGAGCCCAGGCCCAGCTAGAAGGCGGGGCGCCGGTGCTGGGTGGGCACTCGGCATCCGACACGGGCAGCGGCATGCTCTTCCTCAGCAACATCACGCTGGCGCACGCTGGCAAATACGAGTGCGAGGCTTCCAACGCCGGCGGCGCCGCCCGCGTGCCCTTCCGGCTCCTGGTCAACGCGTCCCGGCAGCAGCCCGTGCGATCACCGCCCCCGGCCGCCCCACCCGCCGGCCGAGAGCCTCGGCCCATGGCGGGCAGCATGGCCTTCCGCGCCCTGGGCCTGGCTACGCAGACGGCCATCGCGGCGGCCATCGCGCTGCTGGCGCTCACGGCGGTGCTCCTAGCCGCCATGATTTGTCGCCGGCGCCGCAGGCGGAAAAAGGCGCGGGCGCCGCCAGGGGAGGGCGCGCTGTTCGTTAACGACTACTTGGACGGCCCCTGCACGTTCGCGCAGCTCGAGGAGCTCCGCGACGAGCGCGGCCACGAGATGTTCGTCATCAACCGTTCCAAGCCCCTCTTCGCCGAGGGTCCGGCGGAGGGTCCGGCGGACTGCGAGCAGGCGGAAGGGGCAACCCCGGGGCTCCGCGTGCCCCCGCCGGTTGCCTACGAGATCCACTGCTAGGTCCGCGGACGCGCGCGGATGACGTGGGCGCCGGGGATTGGCCGGCGCTGCCTCGCGCATGCTCCGTCAGTAAAGGTGGAAGCCGCGCACTGTACGCCGAGCCGTGTGTGGGGCGCGGGGCGCCACGCCGGGAAGCGTTGCACTTGGGAATCCTGGGGTAGCAATGGAAGGTGGCCAGGTAGGCCCCAACACCTCACTTGAAGCTCTTCCGAAAAGACATCACCCCCAACCTCCGGTACTGCAAGAGGCAGTTCACCAGCCCTGACCGACCACAGTAAGATCTTGGGCCTCCAAAAGGTGGGAAGAGCAAGGACTGGCAGGCAGTGCCGATGGCGCTGCCCTGCATAGGGCAGAACAACAGGCCAGAGGCAGTTGTTGCCCAGTGGCCATGCTGGGGGTGACAGCAGACATAAGGATAAGGGTGACCAACTTGGACATTAAAAAAACAGCCACAAATTAAAGTTCCAGGCACACTTGCGCCTTGATGACTCTCTCCAGCCCAAGCCCATCCCAATGGGGTGGCTGGATGGCAGGGCAGGGAACACATAAGAGGCCTGAGTGCCTGGGGACCCCAGCCTCCCTGAAGCAGGCCTGTTTCCAACTTCAACCCCAGAACACTGAGCTCTCCATAAGAGGATGGGAAAGGCCCAGAGAGATTGTCGTCTCTCTCAACTCACAACAGGGATCCAAAAGCATTTGCACAAAGGATCAGGACTCCGGAGGGCAGCCAAACTGAGCAGGGTGATGCAGGCCTGACACCCAGCCCTGGGGCCCACAGACAATCAGCTGATTATGGAGCAAGTGCAGGGCCAGGCAAATCGCAAGGGGCACTGCAGAAAGTGGGGTGGGGGACCTCAACGTGTGCCCAGAAGCAAGGTGGACCCAGCAGGAAACCAGAAACAAGTGCTTTTTGACAGGCCTCCAGGGCAGGGTCCCAGCAAAGGCCCTGGCTACTCGAGCCTGCAGGAGCCTGTGTCTCACCCAGAGCTACTTCATCATAGGCTGAAGTAGTCCGCAGCCAGTCGCCCGTAGATGTCCGTGGTCCAGAGCACGTGGGCACGGCCTGACGCTAGAAGCAGCTGGTGCAACTCTGCTTCTACACGGGCAAACTTCTCCTCATTAATGGAAGCCTCCAGCAGGACAGAGGCAGGTGGCGGCCAGGGCAAGCCCTCATAGCAGTCCACAGGGAAGGGGTGCACCACAGTACGCAACTCAGCCTGCACCACTGAGTCCCGCAGCAGCTCCTTGAGGCCGGCCATGGACAGTGGGTTGCCGTAGAGGCCAAGGTAGCGGAGATGGGCGCATCGAGTGAGGATGGGTAGTGTGGCCAACAGCTGGGTATCTGCGAGCTGGCACTCAGTCAGTTCTAGGTGTAGCAGTGTGCTCGCTGACGCCTTCAGCAGACCCTGGAAGGGTGCCAGCTGGCTGCCAGACAGGTCGTTGCCACTCAGGTCCAACTTCTTGAGGTGGGCAGCATGGGGGCTCCGTGCCAAGAAGCTCAGGTCCTCAGGCAGGAGAGCACAGAAGGCCAACTCCAGGCTCTCCAAGGGGCTCTGCAGGGTGCTACAGGGGACACAGTGGTCACAGACAGGCAGAGGTGGGGAGAGTGCCTACCGAAGGGAGGGGCAGGGCGGTGGTGGGGCCCACTCACCTGAGCAGCTGGTCCAGCCTCCCGGAAAGGAGTGAGGAGCCCATGCTGAGCTCACGCAGACAGGTAAAGCGGCCCATCTGGGCTAGGAAGTAGCGGAAGTTGTCCTCGCCATCCACAGAGGGCTGCCTTGAGTCCCCATGCACATAGTGGAGCCGCAGGCTGGCAAGGTGCTGGAAGCGGGCCACGTGTGGGATGATTACAGACAGGCCCCGCAGGCCCAGGTTGTTGAAGCGCAGGTCCACACGGCGCAGACAGCCTGCATCCAGAAGCTGCAGCAGTGCCACAGTGTTGCGCATGGGCAGGTCCTCAGCTCGCAGGTCCCGGCAGCAGAGCCGCAGTGGGCTGCCCACGCTGCTTCGGAGCGCCTCGCGCAGGAACGCATAGGAGGCCCGATTTACCCGAAGGTCCACACGCACCTCCACTGGGACGGGGGCTGGGCCAGGCTCCGTGGCCCCACCCTGCTGCTGGGCGATGCACGTACGGGCAACAGCAGCAGTACAGTCCCACATGCTCATGGTGCCAGGGTCCTGTTCCACACCATCATCCAAGAGGCCTGTCATGTCCAGCACCCGCAGCACATGCTTCCTGGGAGTAGGAATGGTCTGAGGAAGGGGTCAAGGGCAGGGCCCATACATACCCCCTCCCAGCTACCATGGGACAGGAGCAATGTGCCTGCTCCTGTGCAAGCTCTTGCTAACTTTACAACCCAAGTCTAGACCCTCCTCCAGTGACCCACTTACATACACCTGGCCTGACCACCCTTCAGGTAATTCCATACCTGCAGAGGGGCTGTGTGCTGGCCCCAGGCTCTGGGGTGTGGAGCCGGGCGGTCAACCCCAGGATCACGGCCTGCATGCTCTCAGTGCTAGGCCGCTCCTGCAGGAGGGCACGGCTGCAGTGGGCACACTCCTGTAGCAGCTGCTGGAAACTGAGCAGCGGGAAGGGCCACGTGTGTACCAGCTCACGCAGTACTACTGTCTTCTTGTCCATGAAGGCCACCTTGAACAGCAGGGGGAAGAGTTCGCGTGGCAGTAGGGGCAGGGCCTGGCAGGCAGCTGGCTGGCACTGCAGCACCTGCCGCGTGCTCAAGAACACAAGCGTGTGCATGGCGCTGGGCCAGGCAGACAGCCACCTGCAGGAGAGGGACTTCAGCAGGGAGGAGACCCTAGGCCACTACCAAGCCACACACAGTTGGTAGGAAAGCCCAGCATAGTGCCTGGAACAAAGTCAGCAGTTAGCAGAGAACCACCTATTAGAAAAGCACGTATTAGATGCCTAGCTCTGGGCTGGGTGCAGTGGACTGGCAGACAAGGACACAACTCAGCCCCAGCTTTCCAGAAGCACAGGAACTCCAGGAAAACCAAGCATCAAGCAGCGTGGTGTCTTTGACAACTCACTTGCTTGGGTGTGCTTCTGACAGATGACTGTTGAAGGCAACAGGGCCCCCCATGGGTACTTCACGCCTCCCAAATTACAAAGCTGCTTCACAAAGCCTTCTTCGAAACCTGAATAAAGCCCAGACCACTCCCCACCAATCTTTATCAGCATTAGTGTTGACTGGACACTCCCAGGGGTCAAGCAGTCACATCAGTTCCCTTCCCTTCCCTCCCCTCCTCACAGAGGGTCTGCAGGGTTACCCTTGGACTCCACAAAACACAACAAAGAAGCTGGAAGCACACACATAGCTTCATAAGCAACAAGGCAGGCTGAAAAGACTGAGACCCAGGGAACACTGAGTCCAGATGATGTGGCCTACGAAATCCAAGTCGTCAATATAAGATCCCCAAAATACTACTATTGTCCAGTGTCAGCAAGCACGGAGACCCCTGACAGAAAGCAACTCTCATCTTTGGTGGCGCTTACCACCTCTCCCTCTTTCCTGGAGAGCCACTGTGGAAAGACCCAAATCTTAAGTATGTGAGATCTGGCAGGTGCAAGGCTACAGACTGCTCAGACAAAGCGAACTGCCTAAGCAGCATCTAAGAGGCAGAGATGCACACAAACACTACCAAAGACACGAGGTGCCTGTGAGACACGGTGCCAGCGCTACTGCTCACTGTAGCACCCTCAAAACTAAATCGCAGCCATCTCCCTGTGAGATGAGAAAATAAGGCCCACACCGAGCCCAAAGTCAGCCTGAGTGACAAGCCAGGGAAGGGAGCTGAGGAGACACTCAGGTCCCAGGGCTCTTGTTTTTGCCGACTTTTGCACATACAAAGAAGTCCTTAAGGCACCGGTTCCTGAAAAGTCCCAGACGCCAACCCTCGGCCTCGCTCTGCCCGTGGACGAAATCTCGACGATCATACCTCGCTCTGACGGGACAGACCAACCCAGCACCTGTCACGAGAGGACAGGAAAGCAGCCAGCCTGGCCCCCAAGGGAGGCAGGAGCCTCCGTGCGACGCCTCCGCCCCTCCCGCCGGCGGCAGGTAACGCGTTGGTCCTAGGCTGCCAGCGTTTCGCGAAGACGCCCCCGCCCGGCTCCTCAGGGCCTTGAGCCGCTGGAGGCGCTGGACGCGCAGCTCTCTCACTTCCCGGGCGGGCCCTGCTCTTCCAGGCCCGGTGCGTCTCCCACTAGGGCTTGACGCCGCTCCGACCTGCCCAAGAACTCCCAGTCCTTCGCCGCCCGCGGTGGCGCCGCCCGGCTCCCGGCCTCGGCCCGGGGCTCCCAAGTGTAGCCACTCCCTCCCTCAGCTGGGCCGCCCCAAGCGATCGGCGCCCCGCCCCTTTAAGCCAGGCAGGGCCAAGGACGCGCGCCGCCTCGTTCCGAACCCCTCTTGGCGGCCCGAGCTCACCAGTCCCGCAGCCGCAGCCGCAGCCACCGCCTCCGGCCCCGCCTCAATTGTCCGTCGCGTCCCGCCCGGCGCCGTGGCGCCCCGCGATGACGTTTACGCCTCCCATTGGCTGCTTGTCCAGCGCCTGGTGGATTGGCTGCCAGGGCACGATGGCCCCTCCCTCGGCTCGCCGCGCGCCCACATTGGCTGTCGGCCCCAGCATCTGCAGCGCGGGAGACTAGTTGGACTGCGGCGGGCGCAGAGGCCGGGCGGGCGCACCATGGAGCGGCTGCTGGACCTGCGGGAGCGTCTGCAGGCATGGGAGCGCGCGTTCCGGCAGCAGCACGGGCGGCGGCCAAGCCAGGTGCGTACTGCCCAGGGACCGAGGGGCTGAGGGCGCGGCCCGCTGCTGACGCGTTCATTTTACAGGACGACGTGAAGGCGGCCCCCGAGGAGACCCGCGGTGAGCGGGCGCGGGTCGGCAGGGCGGGGGGTGGCGCCGGGTCGGTGGGGGCCCAGCCCCCACGCTGACCCCGCCTCCCGCCCGCCCACGCAGCGCTTTACCGGGAATACAGGACTCTGAAGCGGACAGTGCGTCCGTCCGGTGGCGGCGGCGGGCCCTGCAGCCCGGAGTTGCTCCCCGCGGCGGCCGGGGAGGTACCCAGGCCCCACCACCCCAGCCTCCTCCCACTTTCCTGTTTGGCGGAGTGGCGGGAGCCACGGAGTCGTAGCCAGGCCTCCGTGGGGCACAGAACTTGGGAGGAGGACTGGGCAACGTGGGGAAAGGCCGGGCCTCGCTCCAGGTGTGGGAGGGGTGGCTGGGAGCGCCTCTACCCGCACACCAGCCTTTCTCTGGCTTGTGTTCCTACTGTTTCCTGCAGGCGCCGGAGCCACACTGCTGGGGCCCCCACCTGAATCGGGCTGCGACCCAGAGTCCACAACCTACCCCGGGGCGGAGCTGTCAGGGCTCCTTCCAGGACTATGGGCAGCGACTCAAGGCCAATCTGAAAGGCACCTTGCAGGTGACGGGTGGGCAAGCAGTGCGTCTATGCTAGACCCAGAGTGGCAGGGCCACCCATCTCCTTCCTGTCACTCTTTCCACACAGACAGGCACAGGCCCCTATGCCAACCAGGGCACCACTCTCTTGGGAGCTTCTGGGGATCTCTGCTCTTAACTCCCTTTCTAGCATGGCCCAGTGCTTCTTAGCCTGCCCTACCTTTGAAGGTGGAGACTCGGGTTTCAGAGTCTGCAGCAGCCTAGGGGCCTGAGTACCTGCTGCCATTCTGTTCTTCCCCTCCCAGGCCAGTCCAGACCTGGGCCACAGACCTTGGCCTCTAGGAAGATCCTCATCCAAGACACCCACCCCAAAGCTTCCAGGCACAGGACCTGCCCCCACCTTTGCCGAAAAAGTCAGTGATACGCCTCCACAGCCTTCTGGGCTCCGGCCAAGGCCAGGGCGGCTCCAGCACCTGCGGGCATCCCTGAGCGTACGGCTGGGCTCCCTAGATCCTGGCTGGTTGCAGCGGTGTCACAGTGGGGTCCCAGACATTCTGGGGGCCCCCAAACCCTGTAGGTCTGGCCTAGGCTTAGAGGAATCACAACTTCTGACCGCGGGGGAGTCCGCTGTCCTTGGTCCTGGTGCTGGTTCCCAGGGCCCAGAGGCTTCAGCCCTCCAAGAAGTCAGCATCGGTGCAGGCAACCCCCAACCCAGCGGCAGTCGAGGCGAGAAGCGGAGACGGAATGAGGTGCCCTGGGGGAGCCCCACACAGGTCCAGCAGCAGAGCAGCCAGGCTGGACCTCCGTCTGAGACGGCTGAGGCCATAGCACTTGAGGAAGACTCTCCAGGGGAACCTGTACAGGAACAGCCACCGCAGCCCTGCAGCAGCCGGTCGACCCCCAGGTACCATAGACTGAGCCCCTCCAGTCAAGCCAGGGCAGAGAAGGCTGAGGGCATAGCCCACTTGCACATCTTTCCTAGGTTGGCTGGCTATGACAGGGGCAATTACATACGACTGAACATGAAGCAGAAACGCTATGTGCGGGGCCGGGTACTCCGTGGCAGGCTCCTCCGCAAGCAGGTGAGACAGCGACAGGCTGGGACAGGTGCTCCCTTCCCTTCTCTCAACCCCGGCATCTTCTGTACAGTAACACTCCTATGTGGGCCCCCCCAGGCATGGAAGCAGAAGTGGCAGAAAAAAGGGGAGTGTTTTGGCAGTGGTGATGCCACATTCACAATCAAGGACTCCTGTTTCCTGAATGGGCGGTTTGATCACAGGGCACCCCAGTGTCCCCAGCCAGGTGAGACAACCGCCCTGGACGGGGGCCGGTCCAGACAACACTGTGGAGAGAGCAAGGTGCTCTTTTGGGGGACACTTCTGTCCCAAACAAAAGGCCCTTTCAGGTACCCCTGGTCCAGGCCCTACCTTGGCTCCCCCAAAGGAGGGTGGCAGGGATGAGGATGGCTGTCAGCCCCTTCTGCTTTGGAAGAAGTAGGCCAGAGAGGAAGGGCACTGCTGCCAACCTTTGGGGGAAATGGAAGGTTGTGGCCAGTGGTTGTCTTGCTAGTATTATCTCAGCCCAGACTGGAACTCAAACTCCACTCTCTCCTGCCTGACCCCAGGAAATGAGGAAGACACAGACCCTGCTTGGTCTGAGCCACTGGTTCCTGTGCCACAGCCTGTGCCTGAGGTGCCTGGCCTGGCCCCCACCGTGCTGCCACTCTACTCCCTGGGGCCCTCAGGGCAGGTGGCAGGTGAGCAGTCAGCTTCTGGCCCAGAGCCTTTACCAAGGGGTTGAGGTGATTCGATCATGCTAATCAAGAGCTGTATCTGCAGAGACGCCAGCCGAGGTGTTCCATGCCCTGGAGCAGCTGGGGCACCGAGCCTTCCGCCCCGGGCAGGAGCGTGCGGTCATGCGGATCCTGTCTGGTGAGCACGGCTGCCACGGCTGAGGCTGGGCTGAGGCTGGGCTGCAGAGCCTTGCCACTAACTCCTGCCCCACCTAGGCATCTCCACGCTGCTGGTGCTGCCCACGGGTGCTGGCAAGTCCCTGTGCTACCAGCTTCCGGCACTGCTCTACGCCCAGCGCAGCCCCTGCCTCACGCTGGTCATCTCTCCCCTGCTGTCACTCATGGATGACCAGGTGTGTACACAGGGTCCTGGGCACACGTACACAGCTGAGAACAAGCACTTGTGACTCCCAAAGGCAACTGCTGCTTGTCTCTAATACACTCTCTCCCCTGGGAGTTTCAAGGAGTCTGTGGCCTCAGTCCCAGTCCTGGCAGCAGGTCGAGGCAGCCCAGCACCACGGCTGCCCCCACAGGAGCTGCGCTGGAAAGGGAGCCATCCCTTGGTCCAGGGCTCCTGGGCTAGGGCCCACAGGTGGCTCTGAACCCTTGGCCCTAGGATCCAGGGCTTGGTTCTCCTCTCCCCAGAGGGCCTAGGATGGAGGCAGCAGCTGTTGGGTTAGCATCTCTGGGATGACTTGGGGAAGGGCCAGAACTGGGCGGCCTATGACAGCCCTTGCTCCTGCATCGGCAGGTGTCTGGCCTGCCCCCATGTCTCAAGGCAGCCTGCATCCACTCGGGCATGACCAGGAAGCAACGGGAGTCTGTCCTGCAGAAGGTGGGGGCCTCATGGGCCTAGGGGTGAGGGGGGCAGCAGGCAGGCACCTGGGCTGTGCCCCTGATCCTGCTGCTTTCAGATTCAGGCAGGTCAGGTACACATGCTTCTGCTGACCCCTGAGGCGCTGGTGGGAGCCGGGGGTCTCCCTCCAGCCACGAAGCTGCCTCCAGTGGCTTTTGCCTGCATCGATGAGGCCCACTGCCTCTCCCAGTGGTCCCACAACTTCCGGCCCTGCTACCTGCGTGTCTGTAGGGTGAGCTGTGTGTGAAGTGGGGTGGGCAGCTAGGACCAGGGTAGGCTAGGCAGCCTCACACCACCATGGTCTCTGCTGCAGGTGCTTCGGGAGCGCATGGGCGTGCATTGCTTCCTAGGTCTCACAGCCACAGCCACACGCCGCACAGCCAGTGACGTGGCCCAGCACCTGGCTGTGGCCGAAGAGCCTGGCCTCCATGGGCCAGCCCCAGTTCCTGCTAACCTGCACCTTTCTGTGTCCATGGACAGGGACACAGACCAGGTGGGTGTGCATGCTCTGGGGACCCACAGGGCCCCAATTTCCAACTACGCAGACTGATTACTCCCCGACTCCTGACTACCCATGCTGACCGCTCCCAACTGCCCCCACTGATCACTCCTCACTCCCTACTGCTCCTGCTGACCACTCCTCACTTCTGACTGCCCACTCTGACCGCTCCTCGTCAGGCTCTGTTGACACTGCTGCAGGGCAAACGCTTTCGAAACCTGGATTCCATCATCATTTATTGCAACCGGCGGGAGGACACAGAGAGAGTTGCTGCACTTCTCCGAACTTGCCTGCATCCAGCCCAGGGCCCAGGGCCTAAAGGTGAGGCATGGACAGGGCTGGTGTCCCCATGGACCCACCTTGAGCACCCATGCCCCATCCCACTGACTATTTGCTTGTCTTCCTCAAAGGTCGTGCCCCCAAAACCATGGCTGAGGCCTACCATGCAGGCATGTGCAGCCGGGAACGGCAGCGGGTACAAAGGGCCTTCATGCAGGGCCAATTGCGAGTGGTGGTAGCCACAGTGGCCTTCGGGATGGGGCTGGACCGGCCAGACGTGCGGGCTGTGTTGCATCTGGGGCTGCCCCCAAGCTTTGAGAGCTACGTGCAGGCCGTGGGACGGGCCGGGCGTGACAGGCAGCCTGCCCACTGCCACCTGTTCCTGCAGCCCCAGGTGGGCATCCCCCCAACCACCAGTGTTCAGGCCCCCAGTGCTCCATCCCACCCTCATGACTGTCACACTGCAGGGGGAAGACCTGCGAGAGCTGCGCAGACACGTGCACGCCAATGGCATGGACTTCTGGGCTGTAAAGAGACTGGTGCAGCGTGTATTCCCATCCTGCACCTGTGCCAGGCTGCTC